CAGTTCTTTAATCATTTGTGTTGTATCTTTCAGGTTTGATTTCACTTTGGATACATATGGTTGGAGGAATAAGTTGATGAACTGTGAAAGATTTGAAATAGATTGAGTTAATCCCTGAAATTTTTGGTCTACCCGTTGGGGACTCCAGGTTTTTGTGAATCTTGGGCAGGAAATAAAATATCAGGGTTTTTGGAAGAGTTGTGTTTTAAAAAAAACTTAAATTCTGATTCTTTCAATATTCCTGTGTCTTTGGCCTTTGTAAACATATTCATTTTCTGAATATGATCCTGCTTGAGTTCTTCATGTGTTTCGTTGTCGCTTAATATCCTTGTGACATTATGACTATACCTCCCCCCTTGTCGGCTGGTTTTATGGTTATTTCAGAGTTTCTTACCAGCTCTTCCAGAGCTGCCAATTCCTTCTTGGTAAGGTTGTTTTTTGTGTGTTGATTCTTTTTCAATTTTCTTATGTCTTCTGTTACCAGTTGCTCAATAATCTCTATCCCTGATGAGATCTGGTTGGTTGAAAAATGTGGATTTAGGTTTTAGTTGACTGTGTTTATAACGGTCTGGTTGTTCATATCTTTGTGGAAGAACTTGAATTTGGTGAAAATGTTTCTTGATACTCAGCTTTCTCATGAACCTTTTGATGTCAATAGTGGCTTCAAATTTGTTGATGTTTCTAGTTGGGGCAAATTTAAGACCTTTGTTAAGTGCTGAAATGTGATAGTTTGATAATGGAATCCCTGCTAGATTAAAAATGCCTATTGGCTTCTCCTTTTTTTTCTTGTTGCTTGTGTTTCTTCTTCTTCTTCTATTTCCTCTAGGCTGTGTTCTTTTCTTTTGGTTTTTCTCGGTGTCACTGGATGAAACCATGATGTCATTTTCTGGAGTTTCTTCTTAAAAAAACCTCTCTTGTTGGGTTGTGGATTTCTGCTTCTACTGTCACTCTATGCATATCTGTGGATGTGTGTAATGTTAGTGCTTCAACGTTTGTAGTAGATTGAATATTTGTTTCCTCGCTGTCAAATCTTGTGTCTCTCGTTCAACTTGTTCTGGGTTCTTGAGTTGTGCACTGATGGATCTTCCTTCTTTCTTCACGAATAATACAAGATATACGCAAAGAATGAAGCCAGGGCCGGATTAACATAGAGGCTGATGGAGCTGCAGCTCCAGGCCCAGGCCCAGGCCCATGGAATAGGCCCATTTAAAAAAAAAAAACAACAACTTTTTTTTAACACACTATTCTTAGGTTTGCCACCTGACTGGTATTTTAAGGTACAACCGGTATTTGAGGCTGCCTGGCCTTGACGGTTTTGCAGTAATACCGGCAATACAAATGCAAATATTTTTCTCAGTATTAACAAGGGTCACTGTGTATGGAGAGAGGCAGGGATAGGAAGTTACAGCATCTCCCTGCCTCTCTCTAATTACTGATCCGCGGGGGATCAACTACACAGCACAGAGAGTCCAGAGAGCAGCTCCCAGCCTGCAGAGACAGACTACAGCTCAGCTATGTGAAGGATGGGGGAAAGGCAGCAGTGAGACATGGGGACACTGAGGCACTAGGGGGCACAGACACTAGGACACCCAGGGACACTGAGAAACCCTTATCCTTATCCTTATGTCTTCCAGTGTCCCCAAGTGTCTCATCCAGGGACTCTCAGTGTCCCTGGGTCTCTCAGTTTCCCCTAGTATCCTAGTGACACAGGACACACTGAGACACTTGGAGAGTCTCTTTCCGGTATTACACGCTGCGAGCACAATTGTGATGTCTGACTCGAGAGAGTCTACTCGTGCATTTTTTCCGAGATCCCTGGAACTGCAGAGGAGAGGGGACGTTGTCTATGCAAAGCTGAGGCCATCAACGTGATAATAGGCTTGCAGAGAAGATTCTGCCTCCTGTCTGACATTTTTTGTTCAGGGATGCTAGGGTATGTCAGCGGGTTTAATTTCTTAAATGGTGCGTGGCAATCTCTTGGCTATATGTTGAATATTTTCTCAAGCCCAGTTAGAGTGTGAGGGGATGATGGGCTGGTGGAAACGAAGCCACCATCTTAGGTGGAACACTGCACACAATTGGGCTTCCAATATTGCTGAAGATGGTCCCGAGGCAAATTTGTGCGGGAATAACCCTCACCAGCGAGGGTGGGAAACAACTGCATTCTTCCTCGTGGTAGGGCAGAAACCGAGAGATCGGCCGCGTCTCCAGGCCTCCACTTCCAGGTAGGCTGCATTCAGGCCACCGGAGTCACCTTCGCAGGTATGCTTGGTTTGAGAGGGCAGAGCTGCTCCCTTGGACAGTAAGAGTCCTTCTTTGTTGTCAGGCTTGACAATCAGGATGGGTTAGCCCTTTAAAAAAGGTAAATTGCATGATGTTACCTAAAGCTCCAGCAGGGTGCTCTGGTCGGCAGTCAGGCCCCGCCCCACACTGACTGGAATTTTAATGGCTTTTGATATCTTTTGATATCCTTTTCCATCTTTATGAAGTTCCATTACCTTGTTACGCAGGTCTTTTCACAGTTCTTTTCTGCTTTCCATAACTCAGAGAGCTAACAAACTCATTGACTATTTATACACAGCCACTAAGTGCAATTTAAAAAGCCACAGGTGTGGGAAATTAACCTTTAATTGCCATTTTAACCTGTGTGTGTCACCTTGTGTGTCTGTAACAAGGCCAAGCATCCAAGGGTATGTAAACTTTTGATCAGGGCCATTTAGGTGATTTGTGCTATCATTATGATTTAAAAAGGAGCCAAACAACTATGTGACAATAAATGGCTTCATATGACCACTATCCTTCAATAAAAGACATTAAAAGACATTTTCAAAATATTACATCACTTTAAAAGGTTAATCAAAAGTATTACATTATTTAAAAAGCTGAACATATTAAGCCTAAATCTAGGCAGGTGCCCTAATCTAATATTAGAACAAAAATACTGCTCTGATGGACAAGTATATTGGGTTAACTCTTTAGTCCCTAGAACAACTAGATTCTTTTAAATTTTCATACCAATGATTCATGATGATATAAATTCCATTTAATAAACAGTAAAATGTTAATAGAGGTCATGCATAATATAACTATTTTGTTGTTATGAAAAAAACTGTTATTCGGTTTTATTAATTTGGGGTTAATTTCAAGTTGCTTTATGTTATCTTTTTTTATTAATTACATCAGTGTTTGCTGTGTTTAAATGGGTTTTTTTTTTTCGTACTAAATATCTGCTACTGATTGATTTTCATCACACTATAGCTGAAAAAATTAGTGCTATATCCAAGATAAAAATAATTTACATTAAGTGTTTTTATTTAGGACTGGATTCACTTAAATTAAGGGTGCATATTTCTCAAGTACTTTACTGGCCTGATTTGGCATACACCATACCAGCCTCAGAATAAAGAATACATGAGCAGACAACACTAATTGTAAAAATATGTTACACACTTAAAAGTTATCCTTCCAAATGACACAAATGACAAAAATATTAAAATCAGTTAAGGCTAATTGAGAAAGTTCAAGGCTAGTGTTACTGGCACTTCCTTTGTGAGTGTTTGTGAGCCAAACCAACACCCAGGGGACAAAATGAAATCCTTGCTATGTTATCCTATGCTTGACAGATTGCACACAACTGTCATAAGTTATAACACAGGTAAGGATGAGGGCTTTAGAGGATACATGTTACGGGAAATTTTCCACTGCCATGGCACGTTACTGCTGTTCAGCAATTCAAAACTCAATTTAAAAGAGTTCTTGGGATTGTTTATACATGTTACAATTGTAAGTCACAATATGGGAGTGCCATGGGTCTTGTATAATTTTCACATAGATAAACCTGTAACCTGTTTAATGACTAAATTATTCTGTCATTCTTCTCTGGAACTCAACGTCACATGATGGAGTAATTCAATCTTCTTGCTTTGGCACCTGATACAGCTCTAGCTGGTGTTGCTAATATGGTTGAAAATGCAACCCAGAGCCAGCATCAATATAATAACTGTAAATGACTGTTTAGCACTGAGAAAACCATAACAATATACTTTAGCACTTTAGTTTAGCACTGAGAAAACCATAAAAATATATTTGGAATTTTTGCTGTGCTTAACTGAGCATCATTTTTTTTCTCTCCATACAGTAGCATACTTCATGCTTGTAAAATACACAGAACATGTGTAATATGTAAGTACAAATAGAAAAAGAAAATTATCAGCAAAAACATAGCTGCACAATAAGACTCAAACTACACCAGGTGAGATTCCCTAAGGCATTTTTAAACCCAGGACATACTTGAAAACGAGAGAAATCTCAATGTATCTTTCCTGGTAAAATATTTTATAAATAAATAATAAATGATTGCTAAAATGCCCAAAAATGAGACATAGACTCAATTAATTTCAAATTGAAATCAAAGACTGATAATTGGATGGGTCTCCAATTTGACTTTGTTACTTGACAAAATACAAACCACGGTAAAGAGAGGTGATATATCTGTGTTTTAAATGCACAGTTTGCAGCTGTAACTTGCCTTGTATGCCATGTTTTCTTGTTATGTCAAGAAAAAAAACATGTGCTTAGTAGTGATATAATATCACTGATGTATTTTATGATTTTCAAGTAGAACTCATTCTATAAGTAATAAAGTTTTCTTTTTCTGGAAAGCAGTAAACTGATCAATTAATGTACTTCATAAATAGAAGCACGTATACTAACATTAAAGCAATTTTCTTTTGCTGTATTAGTTATGTGTGCCTTATTATATCAATATATTATACTAAATCTTTACCAGAGAAATGTTTCTTTTTTTAAAGATAAAAAGCAGATATTTTTACCTTATTTGGAAAATTAAATGTTAGACAAGAGGAGCACAGCTGACAACAAAATACAAATATGCATTGCTTTAAGAAAAGGTAAGAAGAGTTAAAGTTAAATCAGAAAAAATGGGTCATCTTAAAAAATGGAAGAAACATGAAGACTTATGGAAAAAAATCATAATGGTCAAGAAATGTTACTAATAAAATAATAGGGAGTTGTCTTTTATTTTCTGAATTTTGATACAATATTTAGTTCATGTAAACGCTCTTTTAAGTATCAATGAATAGGTAAGATGTAATTTGTATAAACTGTCATGTCTGAGAATACATATGTCTAGGCTTATATCCAGTGATCTCATCCCATTCTTTCCGACATGTCCGGATAATCCATTCATGTTCATCATCATCTGAAACAAAAAAGGAAAAATAAATTATGCTATGCCCAGAAAACACAAGCTTGAAGTCTACCAAAGAAACAGTTGAAATTGTATATTTTATGTTTCTCTGATACAGCAAGAAAAAATATTTCTCAAATAGGAAACTGATATGACAGCTGGCGCGTAAACAAATTAGTAGCATGCTACTCTGCTTTCACCTTTACATCAGGAAACACACACAAACACACATATAGTAATTTGAAAAAAATAATCATATATATATATATATATATATATATATATACATATATATATATATATATATATATATATATATATATATATATACACACACATGATTTTTTTTCCCAAATTACTTTCATATGCAAAAGTTGGTGTGTATCAGTAATTTAGCAATCATGCTATAAAAAACAACTGTACATAAGTATGCCAGAGCATGAAGAGTTACTCTCTGTAAGCACGGTTTCCACATTAAAAGAAAGGATTGCTTCATAATTACCATAGTTCCGAGGCTATTTGAATCTGTGCAGCTGCAAGCTCTTCAGCAGTAACAGATGAAACAAGACAAACCGGGTTTATTATACTGAACAAGACTTAGAGCCCCTCCCTGATTGTTAATAATTGGCAGCAATGGACTTAACAGCTACTTGACTATCCTTTTCACACTACCTGGCTGTGCAGCTAACAATTTAAATCACAAATCTGTGTGCTTCTTAGCGCAGCTGGTTCCATGCTCCAGCACTCTGCTCTTCTGACTCTGCACCCCACAATATTGGAACTAGTCTAGAAAAGCATCAGTGTTAAAGATGCAATTAAAGCTAAGTATTGATTGGTGTTCACAAACGTATGAATATAATTACTATTCTTCCAATAGCAGCAATTTTCATTATGTTAATGTAGTTTAACATGCACTGTTCCATGGCATACGTTCTTACATATTCCTTGTATATCAAAGGAAATGTGCTCATACTACAAGTAAAGGTAACACTGTCATGTAAAATCACACTACCGTCAACAATTTAGTAAAATGTACAGTTTAGCTGCATTATTCTTGCTCTAAAGGATTTGCTCTTTGAAAAAATTTATATAACATTTATTTGAGATGTAAAGGTAACAAATAAATTGCTGGCATTTTGGATCTGGACTTCCCGTATGGGTGGGACCAGTCTTATACACTTCAGATATGTTCTCTATGTAATGGCACAAGTTGAGCTAAAACCAGCTTGAGATCTGGGCTGGGACCCACCGAAGGGCAGGCTAATTGAGCTGTTGTCCATTCTCACCTCTCTTGCTACTTATTTTTCTCTCCTAGAAAATAAATGTGGCATAAAACAGCAGCTATATGTGTTGCTGTTAAGAATACCTAAAATAAATATACATGTATGCCAGTTTACTACTTTGTATATTATTTTGTGCCAGTTTACCAATTTACATTTTTTTTTTCCATTTAGATGTTCATCCTTTATGGAATTATTGTAATGATAGAACATTTTGAAAATTATACATATGCACATTATACTTGCTTACTCATCACTCCATGTGTTTTTTTTTTTTTTTGTATATATATTCCTCATTTTTGAGTTCTCTATCAGAGTCCTGATAATCTGGAGATTCTGCAGAAATCTAGAACTGTTCCTAGAACATCCTTCTACTGGACAGAAATCGCATATGTCTCATCTGGAATCTGGAGGTTACAGCCCTGAGTGCTCCAATCACAGCTGGCACTACTAGTGCCCTATCTTTCCACATCCTTTCTAGATCCTCTTTATGCCATAGGATCTTAGCCCTGTCATTTTCAACTACCCTTTGTGGCATCTCCCATCTAAACTTAGGCAGGTCCAGCCGATTGGTCGTGTCTGAGAGACCCAAGCTTCTATTGATATGGTACTGATTGCCTGTTCCTGTGCTGTGACAATTAGCATATCAGTGCTGTCTTCCAGTCCTGCTTTTTCCAACAATTGGTAGTATTTCGGAATATGAGCGACATCCACTATCTGGCAATGGTATATTCTATTTAGAGGTTTGTCTTGCCATGGAATCTCTTCAATTTCTGTATTCTTTAGCTGTAACTGTTGTTGTCTCAGGCATTCCCTCAGCAGTCCATCTTTGAGAGCCATCCTTATGTACATGTGGATGCTTTGTGTTTCATTCAGGAGTGTGGCATTGACACATCAGGCCCAGATCTTCTTTCTTCCAGCTGGTGTACAGTATTGGGTGCTGGATTTTGAGTAGAATCCTCTATTCATTGAGAGTAGTTTCTGGGTCTTGATTTTTTATTTTTATTTTTATGGACAGTTACTTATATAACATTTTTACACATAGTTTTACAACAAGAATGTAATGCATTCTCATACATTAATCATAAACCGAAGAGTATCAAATATTGGTTAGCCTTCTATCTTGAGCTCTGAATATTAGTGCTCGCCTATTGTATATGGTTTGCAAAACATTTGTTGTTTGACCATATAGAAAACCCTCCCTCCCTGCATAACAAGTCACCCAATGTACAATATGCATTCATACTCTCTGCATTTCTAAAAACCTTATTAGCTTTCAGTACCCACAAAGTTAGGTATCCTTTTATACTGTATTAATGAAGTCACCCCTATTGTCCTCACAGGCGTAGATAAAGCTGAGAAAACAGCACGGATATATAAAATGAAGGAACTGCAATAGAAAACTGAGAAGATCAACAGGACATGGAAAATAGAGAATGTAAGATGAGTGAATGAATTGGATGACCCCAGCCCTGCCTTCCACCCCGATCCAAGCCAAACTAGCCTTTTTGGGTAGTTACTCCTGCCGGAACTTTAGAAATCGCGTAGTTGTCTTTTTCCTAGTTGGGCCAAACAGTCAAACCACAGGAACCAGATATCCTGGCATATCCCTTCCCTACCATATAGATCAGCTTTATTGACATAATAACTTACATTTTAATGATCCATTATTCTAAGGTCGTCGGAGCCTTATGTTTCCAGAGAGCAGGGATCAGAATCCTCGTCACATTGAGAAAATATGTTGTGAAGGATTTTTTTATATTTGGAGACGGTCAGTGGGACTAAGCAGCATAGTCATCAAGGTAATTGGCACACTTTTTTCCACTATCGAGGTCATTGTCTTGGTGTCATTTTTTAACAACCCTACGATATGTGAAGAAGCGTGTTGATGACCTGACCACAGTAGACCTCCAGCAAGTATTAACAACTCCAGGAAAGATCTTGTGAAGAAGATGGGACATGTACCGTAAGTTTGTAATTTGTTTCCTATATATCGCAGAACTGATAGATGAGCAGTAGAGAAGAGTGCAGAGCTTCTGCTACTATTCCTCCATAAATACCATCTCTAGGTTTGGGTCATGATATCCATGATGTCCAGCTCTTCTTTTGGCCCCATTATTATTTTATTATTCCAACTCGGTACTTGATAACTGGTAGGGCGTATGTGTTAATGGCGTGTATTTTGTTATATTGAGCTAGGACTTCAGGACCTGTCTGAGTCTCTGAAGGAACTTGGATGTTATTGTCCTCCTTGCCTTTTCCTCATGTTTGCCATGTGCACAAGTACCTAGGAATACCACAGTATCTCATATCTGGCCATATGGTACTTCAATTCATTTGGTCCTGATCATCTTCCATCTTTTTGCTATCATTTGCCCACACTTAACCAACCCGAATGACATTCCTATGTCCTTGCTGTATATACTAGTTAGTGGGATCAGTGATGTCTGGCTCGCTCTTGACTTGAGCTTGATGTTGTCTATGTAGAGGAGGTGGCTGAATGTAGTTCTAGAACCTGTAATAGAATCTAATATTCATGATGAACTGGCTGAGGGGGTTAAAGCCTATGCACACAAAATGCTAATACGAGCTTTATAATCAATAAATGTCACAATACATCAAACTTAAAACGAAAAAAATTATAAGGGTAGAGTAAACATATGCGAGTAGAGTAAACATATAGTATCACAACTCACATCAATAGCCTACCAGAGCAAGACACAAATCACAAAAAGACCCCTAACATTTCAGCACACTCAGGTGCCTTTCTATGCAAAACAGCATCTGTGATGGTGGTGCTTAGTTGGAGCGTAGAGAGGTATTTAATTCTACATCTAATTTTGTGCAACATACCTCACAAATACATGTTTGCTAAACACAAGAGATATGTATACATAATATTAAAATCCTGGGAAGTGACAATTCCCCTTTAACCTTTCAGTCATAACCCAAAAAGTGGTCCCCATTGGCAATTCGTATTCATCACACTCCAGGTAACTTCCCCCTAGCTAGTTGTTTACTTTAGTGGCATAGCTTTCACTTCATCAGTGGAGTCTACTTTATTACTTGGAAAAGTCTACTTACAATGTTTAGCTACATTTATTTAATATATTCAATTGAGAAGCTTGGAAAAACTCACAATTTGATGAGCATTTATAAGTTTGCTCTAAACTATATAGGTAGAACGAATCATTCAGATGTACATGGATCCAATGTTTAGGTCCCCCAGGAGGTGTTTGCAGTCCTCAATCAGGTAAATCAGGAACCGAGTAACCAGGTACAGGTAGAAAATAAATTTATTATAATAAAACACAAAAAAAAAAAAAGCACACCGCGTTTCGACCCAGTAAAGAGGGTCTTCCTCAGGTGCAGGTACCTGTAGGAAGACCTGTACCTGCACCTGAGGAAGACCCTCTTTACTGGGTCGAAACGCGTTGTGCTTTTTTTTTTGTGTTTTATTATAATAAATTTATTTTCTACCTGTACCTGGTTACTCGGTTCCTGATTTACCTGATTGAGGACTGCAAACACATCCTGGGGGATCTAAACATTGGATCCATGTACATCTGAATGATTCGTTCTACCTATATAGTTTAGAGCAAACTTATAAATGCTCATCAAATTGTGAGTTTTTCCAAGCTTCTCAATTGAATATCATATGTTTGGCATCCTACCCTATGTTGGTGTTCTACTTTTACAGAACCTAGGGACGTACCACAAACTTGTGGACTTATAAGCTACCTGCGCAATCACCTATTCCCGTTTTTTCATTTGTATATGTAAGTGTATTTAGTGACTATACACTAAGGTGTTTTTGCTGCATGCTATAGTATTAGCACGTTTTTCTATTAGCACCACCCTTTCTCCTTTTCTACTTCTGTGTTTTACCCATAGGCTTTTTAAAGTGATAAAACTTGAAGAAGCCTATGGGTGAAACGCGTTGTGATTATATAGAAGGCCTTTTTTTAAATCTGTTTTTATTTTGTGTGGTATATTGCAGTAAACATTGTTTTTACTTTTTTATGTATTTTTTATCCTATATTTTATTTTATTAATCTAAAGGAATCTCCACATCTACCTACATATATACTTGGTGGGGATCATAGCACCCAAGCTGATATCATTGAGAAAAAGGTGCTCTTGAAATTGTGAGTAGGTTTTATATATATTTTTTTTTAAAAGTACTATTGTTTAAAATGGTGAGCACTATATCTCGTTTTATTCCTTTCATATGCCGTTTACATTGTGAATATCTACAGAGGACAGCTCCAGATTTATCTTTAAGCAGGGAGTGTACCGCTCAGAGCTCTATCTAAGAGCTGATTGGAAGCTCTCTCCTTGTGAGCGTATTTTATCTTAAATTTACCTAAGATATTGTATATACTGGATTACACTATTGGTGGTTTATTTTGTGTTTTATGTTTTATGAGACACCAACAACAGAATTCCTCATCTGCACTAAGGTTTTGTCTACTTGAACACTAAGGAGGATAACAGACTGACCTCCAAAAAAGCACTTTCTTCAAAAGGTTGTTATCTCCAAAAAATACTTTTTTTTGCTAGGACTCTTTAATATTGTTATATCTCAATATTTTTATATATAATATTGTGTATATATATAATATTGTGTATATATATATATATATATATATATATATATTCGGAAGAATTAATTTCCTATTCGATTAGTGCCGATTTAGCAGCCAGCCCCCTGATTCCCACAGTATTAGAGAGCTATCTACTAATAAGCTGAAAGACCAAAATTGGTCTGTCAGCAACCTATTAAAATAATTAATAGGGGGGACCATCCTCCACCCATGTTACACAAGTGGGGGCTATTAAACTAAACAGGGGACCTTGCGTGTAGCCTCCGCCCCACCTATTAGATGCGGGTGGGGGTGCTAAGTGATAAAAGGGGGGGACCTAGTGTCTCTCCCCCAGTCCCCTAAGTGACAAAAAGGGCTTAACTATTTTCTCCCCCTGGACCCCACCCATTAGTTGTGGGTGGGGGGAACTTTTATCTCCTACCCTCCACGGCCTGCACTCATGAGTGGTGGGTGGGAGATCTAATGCCTCGTTTCCACTGAGCGGTATAATTCGGGTCGGTACGTTTCAGAAGGGTTAGAATGGTCTAGCCTATTCAGGTGAGCATTTCCACTGCAAGTCAGACCGCAAGGGAGCATGCAGGGTTTAGACCAAATGCCTAGCGTGTCATTTGTTGTGAGCATTGATGTTTTCCTGTCCAACAATCAATGGATTTTATAGTGTGATGCCAGTAGGTCCGCCCTAACCGTACCGTACCATTTCCTATGGACCTACATCTGAAGAGGGCCCAGGAATGGTGCGGTTTGGTTCGGTTGTATGGGCCACTTTCATAATGGAAACACTCAAAATAGCGTACCAGACCGTACCGACCCGAACCGCTCAGTGAAAATGGGGCATAAGTGACATAAGGGACACCCAATGTTTCCCCCAGCCCTCACCCATTAGCAGCGGGTGGGCGCCCTAAGTGGCAAAATGGGGGACCTTTTCCCTCCCCCAACAATTGGCAGCTGGTGGGGGCCCTAAGTTACATGGGTGCACTTTCCCCTTATCCCTGCAGATGAAAACATTGCAATTTCAGTAAAGCTTTCATCTGCAGGGGTAAGAGGTTAGTGCACCCAGATCATTTCTATGAGATAAAGTGGTCTGGGTGCCTATACTGTGCCTTTAACCCCTTAAGGATCAAGTCAATTTTGAGATGTAACATGTTTGTGACCAATGCCTTTTTTGGCTCTTTTGCCATTGTTTTTTTCTACCACAATTTCACCCTTTCTGTTTAAGTGCACCCATACCTATTATATACATATTTTTTAAAGGATATAGGACTTTCTTTTGATATCCTATATGTATATATAACACAAACTTAAATAAAAATAAAATATGTTAAAATGGGGGAAAAAATATTTTTCTTCTCACTTTTATATTTAAAAATTTCTACACACCAAGTGCAACAAATACATTTTTAGACAAATAAATAAAACAAGTATTGCAAGGAGTGAAGCTAAAACTTTGATAGTAGTCACAAAATCCAATACCGCTACAAAACAAGTATGTATTTGTATACAGTACATCCCCTATGCCATGGGTGGGTAATCTGCGGCCCTCCAGATGTTTTGGACTACATTTCCCATAATGCTCTTAGGGCCATAATGCTAGCAAAGCATCAAGGGAGATGTAGTCCAAAACATCTGGAGGGCCGCAGATTTCCCACCCCTGCCCTTTGCTATATAACTAAGAGCAGAGATTTTTTCACACGAGTTTTATTTGGGGGAAATTTACCAGCAGCACCACTGTGTCCCAGCCTACAAACAGGATCCTCAGGCATCAAAGGATGCCTTATGTACCTTGGTACCAGCAGGGATTTAACCATGCTGGTATCTTTTACTGCATGATAGTCTATGCCGTCAAAGAGCAATCAAGCCCTGCACTGGATGATGGCATAGCGTCCAGGGATAAGCAACCTTCGGCACCTCATATGTTGTGGAATACATCCCCCAAAATGCTCTTACAAACATAATGCTGGCAAAGCATCATGGGAGTTGTAGTCCAAAACATCTGCAGTGCCGAAGGTTGCCTATGCCTGGCATAGACAGTCATGTGGTCCTTAAATAGTAAAAGGATTAGTAGCGAGAACAAGACTAAAAAAAGTCAAATGAAGCAGAACATGCCACAGATTCTCTCTATAGTTTGACCCAACATACACCCTCAAGAAAAGTTATCATTATAAAAAGTTCAAAAGTTAGATTTATGTATTATTTAAGTGTATTCTTTTTGTTTTTAGGAAGTATTGTTTTTGCTGCGACCTTTAACACCAACAAGCATTTAGCCTTTTCTGTACAAACAAGTCCCATCTGAACTCCAGTGTGATAGACATCCTAAAACGGCACTCCCATATTACAGTGCAACTTCTGTTAAACCTGTCTTGTTAAGACACTGCTATACAGGACTTCCTGAATGTTTCCTACCATCTGCTTTAGATCCTCTCATTGACCAGTCTGCAGCCTTGGTGTTTTCCTGTTCTTTCCTGCCCAACCTACTGAGTAGTTATTCTGGATGGATTCCTTGTCACTCCAGACCCTTTCCTCATTTTCTTTGCCTTTTTTTTTTTTTAACTTTTCCGTTACTTCATGGCCATGTGCCCTTAAAGGTTTCTCTTGGGACATGCAGGATACTCTTATTTTATCACTTTTAAATTTTATGGCTACTGCTGTACAACTCATTTATTCATGACATCATCACGACAATACACATGCATTTTTACACAACAAATACAGCTTCATATTAATATATATCAGAAGAAAATGTATTATAGTGTAAATATCTATTAATATGTTTTCATAACAAAGTATTAAATTGTGCATTGTTATAGACTAATAAGTATATATACGGATAAAAACAAACAAACATGATGATACACAATTATCATAAGTCCAAAGGCTAATCCTTTACATGCCTCCTCTTTCTCACAATATTATATTTTCCTAACCAACACTGATAAAACATTAAGTTTTATTTATATACTAATATTTTTTTGTTTGGTCTGGGCAAACTTTTGCTCCATTTATAAGTTATGTAATTGGTGACGCCCCCTCGAAAGGCTTGCCCCCATCCCGATCTCTGCTGATCAAAAGTTGGCCCAAATATATGGATATATAAAGAGTAGGCATCGTTTTAGATTTGTACTAGAGAGTTTTTATTTGTGATTTGAGAAAGGCTTTAGTACAGAGCTAAGTTGCCTACACTTTTGTCCTAATAAAGTCTGCATTTGCATAATTTCTGTGTGTGACCGGACATCTAAACATAACTACCTGTCCATCTCCACATACTAAAACATTTCATCCACAGTTACTGTGCATTGCTTCCTTTGTTACCCTCTCTCACCCATACTTTTTAAGCTCTTTGAATCACAACTAAGTATATCTTTCATAGTTGATAAATTGAACAAGGTTTTTAATTTAACCACACATTGCTCCATTACCAATTAAGTCCAAGAATCTGTAAAAAAAAAATGTTTTAAAGGACCACTATAGTGCCAGGAAAACATCCGCCGGGCTGGATGGTGAGGAAGGGGTTAAACTTACCTCTTTCTCCAGCGCCAGGTGTGGAGCTCTCCTCCTCCTCTTCGGCTGAAAGCGCATGCGCGTCAGGAGCCGCGCGCGCATTCAGCCAGGCCATAGGAAAGCATTCACATCTGGCATCTTCTCACTGTGATTTTCACAGTGAGAAACACGGAAGCCCTCTAGCGGCTGTCAATGAGACAGCCACTAGAGGCTGGATTAACCCTAACATAAACATAGCAGTTTCTCTGAAACGCAATTTCTCTGAAACTGCTATGTTTATAGAAAAAACTGTTAACCCTAGATGGACCAGGCACCCAGACCAACTCATTAAGCTGAAGTGGTCTGGGTGCCGTAAGTGGTCCTTTAAATAACCAGATGGTATGAGTTAACCAAGCTACAAGCAATGGACTAGTGCAGCTTGGAAACATTCTGCACATTTGCCTTGAATGTAAGCAAAACAATATTTGGTGAAATATCCATCTAGTTATTCATAAAATCTATTACCTATGTAGCTGGCTCCCAAAGCAATCATATCATGCTCAAATCCAAATATAGAAAGTATCTTTACAAATGTTTTAACATTAAAGGGACACTTTATTCACCCAGACCACAGCTCAATGAAGTGGTCTGGGGGCCAGACCCTCAGGTTTTAACCCTTCAGATGCAAACATAGCAGTTTCGGAGAAACTGCTATGTTTACATTTGGGGTTAAGCCAGCCTCTAGTGGCTGTCTTCCGGACAGCCACTAGAGGCGCATCTGCGACGCTGGAGGCATATTATGCATGCGCATTCGGCTCCGCTGACGTCGGCAGAGGGAGCTGACGTCGGTGGGGGTGGAGAGGTCACCAGCGCCGAGGGAGCCCGGCGCTGAATTAAGGTAAGCTGCTGAAGGGGCAACGCTTTGTTTTCCTGACACTATAGTGATCCTTTAAGATTGGAGATCTTCCATTGTAGAATGGGTATAGGGAATAAAAGCGATCCACCTAGTGGGAAAATTGCGATCTTCATCTAAAGATGCATCTCTGCATTATTACAGGTATTAGCATAGGGATCTTGAATCAGACAACTTATGGACTATTTTGGATGAAATAGCTATTAAACTTACACCCTTCCTTTATCAGTCCAATTTTTTAGACCATTTCTCCTCCAAGTATTGGCCACTTCAAATCTTTAACTCTGGAGTTGCAATGTCATTGGCTATTGGAAAAGTGCCTTATAGTTTATGATAACGGTTATTAAGGCAATCTCTCTAGCCAGAAATTGGAATTTCAATTTATAACTGAGCTGTCACTACATTCTGTTTAGTTAAACAGTTATTCCGCTATGAACAGGATATCTTACAAAGAAATGTAGAAACATGGAGTTCAAAGCATATGCGACGACACGGGAATGCAGGGTGTTCCCTCTATATTGTTAATCATTACAGGTTCCTGTGTTTTTGGAAAGCATGCTGCTTATCTTAGTTCATATTATATGTTCTACATACCAGAAATTTGGGCTTAAAGCCAACTAAAGCTGTCCAAGTAATGCTACAAGAAGGGTGTCAAGCAGGACAGCAGGATAACTTGTAAAAGATATAATCTTTTAAAGTTTCCTTATCATTTTCAGCACAAAACCAGACACCTTTTTAAAAACCCAAACTCTCCCTATAGACAAATTAGGATGTTGGAGCATAGTTTATGACAAGAAATAGAATACAGAAAACTTAAAATTGTGAACATAACTTTTTTCCTGTGCTTCTATAAATACACAAATTGAAAAACCACTCAGTTTTTAAAGTGCGCTGTTTATTTGATGCCATTATCTCTGATCCCTCTTTGTACAGTCCACCATACTACCATACCAAATATACGCAAAGCAGTAAGATTATAGAAAGCATGACTAAAGATGACCTAGTTCTCTTTATACATATTTTATTTCATTTCTATTAGGCGTTTTTCATAGTTGGACATGCTGATTTTAAAAGATTGCAGTACTTAAGGCAAAAAAATTAATTTAAAAAACCTACGTTGATTTTTGTTTTGACTTTTTTTCAACCAGGGATTTCAATTTATTTTAATACACATTTACATATTTCATGGTTTAACGAAATACAGTAGTCAGAATGACAGCCAAGGTCAAGGATAGGAGAAATCAGAATAACCAGTAAGAAGCCAAGTAATGAGAGCACAGAGATCAGTATAATCGAGAAATATGCTATGGGTTGAATACCGGAGAGTCAAAGAATATAAGTAATGTGCTGTTGGGCAATCAAGAACCACAACAGGGCAACAAACTGTGGAACAAGTAAGTTTATATAGGTAGGGCTTGTTTCTATCAGTTAGCGTCATCATGGTGCTGCAGATGATGCACAGGTGGTGAAAAGTCGTTTTTGCGTGACCAGTGACAATTCAGACCAGCGTACATGTCAATTGGTCACAAACTGTATATGAATTCAGGACCGAATAAAAGGATGCAAACTGGAAGCATGCAGCATTTTACAAAATGCCAGGGCCGCATGAGAGAGACTCAGGGAACCTGTCACTTTTGTATTGTATTTTGTATTTATGTAAATGTGAAAGGATGAATTTACTTATTTATGTAGGCAATACAAAATAGCACCCACCAAGGCTATAATACTTGAAATTTTCTCAAGCATAATAAATATTATGACAAATTGCTAATGAAGGGGGTGCATTACAACTCTAAGTAGAAAACTGCATGTTCCTTCAAAAATCCATGCAAGTTTTGTCCTGTTCTGATTTCAAAGTAAAACATTACTTATGTAAAAAAAAAAAAGAAAATAAGTCATGTCATGTCATGGCTCTACTCAACTCTACTCACCGACTCCTTGTGCATCAGCAAGCAAAGAGCAGGGGAGACCATGGTCCGGGTGAGGTACGTGGTCCAGGGACAATAATGTAAACCAAGATGGCGCTGAATTCATGAACTGTTTATATAGCCCCAGAATGCTCCACCTACAGGTTGCTGGTCATGTGACATGTCAGTTTATTTAATCCCAGAGAGCCTCCTTAACAGTGCTTGGTTGTTCTAAGCTCCCTGTCCCTTTTTCCTGATGCCTGGTGGTTTTCATGTTTCCTGACCTGCCTCTCTACTGATTGATTTCCTGGTTACTGATTCCTCTTGACCATACTTTCTCGCTGCATACCCTAACCTTTGGACCTCCTGACAATGTTGCTTGTATCATCCCTCTCCAATACCACTGACTGGTTCCTTTTTCTTATTAAAGCCTCCCGTGCCACCACTGACCAATCAGGGTTCTGTTCTTACCTTCAGGTGGTCCCGAGGGTCGTGACTTTAAGGGAATGCTGATCCTAATCAACAACAAAGTACGGGTGGTCACAGACTAGTGTGATCTGCCAGACACCTTATCACTGCATGTAATTTTGAATAACACATGCAATGGCATGCATACATCACTAGTGCACCTGGTACTATTATAAGAATGTCTATGCGTTGCATTCCTCTGTAAATTGTGTGCAAGAAAGCTTCCAAAGCATCAGAAAACGCAAAGATGTCCAGAATAGGGGAGTGCTGCAGAGGTTTGTATATTTTCTGCTTTAAGAAAAATTAACTGAGTTCATCAGAAATGTACATTTATGTTGCATGAGCCTTTGTAAAACTTGCTTTGATTAAAAGTCATTTACACTTTTCCTGGATGTGTTTCAGTAATGTTGGAGACTTTTTTTCCATTTTGGCTATTTTTGCCTAAATATTGCAACAAGACTGTTAACACATTGTAATTCAAAATTTATTGAATAAATCTCAAAGAGTAAAGTGACAGTTTTGAAATCTATGCAATGAACTAGGCATTTTTTTAGGTGTAATGTAACTGAGTGGATACTATAATCATGTGTTTTATAGCCAAGATTATCTGTGTGCTAACACAAGAGCTCATAAAGAAAGTGCTCACTGGTACTGGAATAAAATAATGCTGTTGGGATAATGCTTACTTCCTACCACTAGGAATTTGTCTTGGCTTTGACAAGTTATATATAACATGCTCTTGAATCAGTCCTTAAAGAGGTAAGTGCTGCCTGTGGTGCAATGACTGTTAAGAGATTTTTTCCTGCTACGATAAAAAGTATTAGGAGAGAAACTAATGGGGTTTGCAGCAGAAACCAAGTTCACTTGAATAATAGCAACAAAATGGGGCACAATTAAACTCAGTTTAAAATCCCCTCTGCTAAGTGGCACATAAAAGTCTCCCAGCTTAATTTCATTTTATAGCATATGTTCTTAAAGCAGAAATATGATAATTTTAGAAAAGTGGTCAATTATGCAAAATCCCTCTCTACATAAACCATTTCTTTATATTATAAGATATTTTTTGTTATTAGGGATTTTTAGCTAACAGAGGTTGGCCAATACATATACTTTACAATCTAGATATTTAGGTACAACCTACACATTTTTTGAACATTTGTTTCTACATACATGCTACACAAAGTATCTACTGTTTTTGGATCTTAAAGTCATGAGGTCCATCTTGGATGTTTGTCTTAAGTCATTCTTCTGGTATGTTTCAAACTTCTTTCAAACAAGCAGTTATTGCTCCCATATTAAATAACCCTTCTCTCAATCCTTATCCCTAACTATGATACTGATTCTGTACTCATTTTTGCCGCCAAACCATGTGAACAGATTGTTGACACTTAACCACCTTTTCTAATTGCAATTCTATACTGTCCCTTTACATTCAATCTCCTTTTTCATTACTTCACTGAAAACATGCTAACTAGTCATCTATTGTAAAGGATAGGACCTTGAGAGAGTACCATGATCACATCCCTTCGTTATAGAACTTCTGAAGAGCTGCCGCATTATTATGGAAATCCCCTCACAGTAGTTTAAGACACCCGTAAAAAAAAAAAATCAACTTTATTCGTCTTATTATTACAGTCCACTTTCATCTCACAAAATTTGTCAGCTTACTGTGCTGTCTAACCTTGTTTACCTTTTAAATCCACTGCTCCCATATGTTATGACTTTATGTAAATTTTCTCTTTTCTCCTGGTTATACTTGAATTTTACTTTTGCATAGTTATACCCCCTCCTTTTTTACACTAGTATTTAGTAGGACTATCATCACCTTGTTTGTTGCCCTTATCCAGAACACTTTATAAAATTGTAATGTAATAAATCATAGTTATTTTTACAGATAGATGGCTATATAATTAGACACACCAGGTCATACCAAAAGGAGTAGAGAACCTTGTTTGAGGGATTTAATCTACAGTTGTAGCCAGGCCCGGACTGGTCTATGCAGGGCCAGCACTATCCAAGCGCCGGCCCCGCTGTGTTCCATGAAGTGCCGGTGGGGAGATCAAAGATCTCCCTCTTCGGCCCACATGCTCTCAAACACGGCCGCCGGTGGGGAGAGAGGGAGGGAGACAGCCAGCCTGGAGAGAGGACCTGGCGGAACTCTAACTTGCAGCTCCGCCGGGTATCTCTTGCGAGATCCTGACCGTTGCCATGGCAACCAGCCCGGTCTCGCGAGAGTGAACTCTAGCTCCAAAGGGCTAGAGTTCACTTACCACGAGGACCACCAGGGATGGCTGGCAGCAGCCAGGAATATTGGGGGGATATAATGTATTTATTTTTCTAATAAAAAAAAGACATTAATACTGGCATTTACCTGCCTCCCCCCAATACACAATCCTTGCAAACACACACATCACCCTCACCCAGCACCCTAACACTCACACAGCACCCTCACCCAGCACCCTAACACCAGCACCCTAACATTGACACATCACCCTAACACACACACAGCACCCTAACACACACACACATCACCCTAACACACACACAGCACCCTCACCCAGCACCCTAACACTCACACATCACCCTAACACACACACAGCACCCTCACCCAGCATGTTAACACTCACACAGCACCCTAACACCAGCACCCTAACATTGACACATCACCCTAACACACACGCATCACCCTAACACAAACACACAGCACCCTAACACATACACATCACCCTAACACTCACACATCACCCTAACACACACACAGCACCCTAACACACACACATCACCCTAACACACACACAGCACCCTCACCCAGCACCCTAACACTCACACATCACCCTAACACACACACAGCACCCTCACCCAGCATGTTAACACTCACACAGCACCCTAACACCAGCACCCTAACATTGACACATCACCCTAACACACGCGCATCACCCTAACACAAACACACAGCACCCTAACACATACACATCACCCTAACACTCACACATCACCCTAACACCAGCACCCTAACACACACATCACCCTAACACTCACACAGCACCCTAACACTCACACAGCCCTAACATTGACACATCACCCTAACACACACATCACCCTCACTCACACATCACCCTCACTCACACAGCACCCTCACTCACACATCACCCTCACACATCACCCTAACCAACACACATCACCCTCACTCACACATCACCCTCACACACACACAGCACCCCAACACACATCACCCTCACTCACACATCACCCTCACACAAACAGCACCCTCACACAGCACCCTTACACACACACACACATCACCCTCACTCACACATCACCCTCACTCACACATCACCCTCACTCACACATCACACTCACACACACATCACCCTCACACACACATCACCCTCACACATACACAGCACCCTAACACACACACAGCACCCCAACACACATCACCCTCACTCACACAGCACCCTCAAATACACAGCACCCTCACACACACATACTGCACCCACGCACACACATACTGCACCCACACACACAGCACCTTCCCACACACACAGCACCTTCCCACACACACTATACTCCTCACAAATGCACACTACACCCCTCACACACACAGCAGCCCCCAAACACGCTGCACCACTCACACACACACTCACTAGATCTCCTATACGCACTCCTAAGTCCTTCAAACACACACTAGATCCCCTACACACAGACGCTGCACCACCTACACACACACACACACTACATTTCTGACATACACACTCAGGATCCCCTATGAACACACTAGATTCCATTTAAGCAAACACATAGTGTCTCCATAAATGGGATACAGTGAGTATTCCAATTATGGAAAACCCTGAGACAAGTTTCAAGCAAACACAACACAAGCATGTTATTAAATTTGCTTGCGCTGTGCAGATCAAATACAGGGCCCTTTTCTCATGCCCTGGAAGAGCATTGAACCAACATGCTCACTTTGAGATGGGGCGTGCTTGTCATTGGGGATGCCAAAACACACCCTATCTGCCCCGCCCCCTTTTCAGTGGGCCGCTGTGAATAAAAAATGCCCGGGCCGAATTTTTTCCCCAGTCCGGCCCAGGTTGTAGCACATTCAGGGACGTATTAGCCGCGAGGCAAACAAGGCATTTGCCTTGGGCGGCATTTTTCAGGGGGCGGCAAAAAACGCTGCCCCCAAATGCCCAGGGCAAATGCCTAGTTAGCCTCGCGGCTAACTGACATGCTGGGCGCTGGGCAGGCGGCGCTGGCTGGCGGCTGGAGAGGGAGCTCTTCCCCTGAGCAGTCTGCTCAGCTCCCTCGCGCGCCGCAGAGTGAGGCTGGGAGCCGGAAGATGACGTCATATTCCAGCTCCCAGCCTCACTCTGGGGCGCGCGAGGGAGCTGAGCAGAGTGCTCAGAGGAAGTGCTCCCTCGCCAGCCGCCCGCTCAGCAGCCAGCCCATGAGCCCGACCGGCAGCCACTGGACCCCCAGGGAGATAATGATCCCTTTCCCCCCCCAGCACTCCCAAAGGTAAGGAGGTTGGGGGGGGGGGTAAATTAAAAAAAAAGTGTTAATGTGAGTGATTGTGTGTGTGTCTGACTGTTTGTGTGTGTGTTTGTGTCTGACTGTGTGTTTGTGTCTGACTGTGTGTTTGTGTCTGACTGTGTGTGTCAGACTGTTTGTGTCAGACTGTTTGTGTCTGACTGTGTGTGTCTGACTGTGTGTGTGTCTCTGTCTGACTGTGTGTTTGTGTCTGACTGTGTGTGTGTCTGACTGTGTTTTTGTGTCTGACTGTGTGTTTGTGTCTGACTGTGTGTGTGTGTGACTGTGTGTGTGTCTGACTGTGTGTGTGTGACTGTGTGTCTGACTGTGTGTGTGTGTCTGACTGTGTGTGTCTGACTGTGTGTGTGTTTGTCTGACTCTGACTGTGTGTGTGTCTGACTGTGTGTTTGTGTCTGACTGTGTGTTTGTGTCTGACTGTGTGTTTGTGTCTGACTGTGTGTGTGTTTGTGTGTGTGTGACTGTGTGTGTGACTGTGTGTGTGTGTGTGTGTGACTGACTGTGTGTGACTGACTGTGTGTGTGTGTGTGTGTGTGTGTGTGTGTATTTAGAAGGTGGGGCAGGGGGGAAGGGTTAGGTGGGGCAGGGGGGAAGGGTTGGGTGGGGGTGGCGCCTGAGTTTTGTCCAGCCTAGGGCAGCACAAAACCAGGATACACCACTGAGCACATTTATACATAATTTTAGGCAAGAAGCTCTTGAGATTATAATCTAAAGGGATAATGGGCATTGAGATAAGAGACACCAAGGGAGAAAATTCAGTTGATAACTAAGAACACAGATGGCACCACGGTGAGTAATAAAAGATATTGTGATATGGTTAGTAGGATATTGGTGGTGATATCAGAGAATAATTATGGTCTACAATTGAAGGTAAAACAATATGTGAGCAAGAATGTACTGCAAAAATGTTCATTATTCCTAAATATCCTGCCATCTTGCTCACACAAGTAAATTGGGTACTATGTTTTAGTTAATTCCTACCAGTGATGTCACTCAAATGAAGGATTAAATAATCACCTTTTTCTGTTAAAGTAAATAACAGGACTGTGGATCCTCTTATCCTTAGAATGCTTCATGTTTTCTTTGGGGAAACAGTGAGGGAAAAAAGTATTTGATCACCTGCTGATTTTTAACTTTTGCCTACTGACAAAGAAATGATCAGTCTATAATTTTAATGGTAGGTGTATTTTAACAGTGAGAGGTACTTGATCCCCTATCAATCAGCAAGATTTCTGGCTCCCAGGTGTTTTTAATGCAGGTAACGAGCTGAGATTAGGAGCACTCTCTTAAATGGAGTGCTCCTAATCTCAGTTTGTTAACTGTATAAAAGACACCTGTCCACAGAAGCAATCAATCAGATTCTAAACGCTGCACCATGGCCAAGACAAAAGAGCTGTCCAAGGATGTCAGGGTCAAGATTGTAGAGCTACACAAGGCTGGAATGGGTCTAAAGACCATCGCCAAGCAGCTTGTTGAGAAGGTAACAACAGTTGGTGCGATTATTCGCAAATGGAAGAAACACAAAATAACTGTCAGTCTCCCTTGGTCTGGTGCTCCATGCAAGGTCTCACCTTGTGGAGTTTCAAATCATGAGAATGCTGAGGAATCATGGGAGAATCTTGATAATGATCTCAAGGCAGCTGGGACCATAGTCACCAAGAAAACAATTGGTAACACACTACACTGTGAAGGACTGAAATCCTGCAGTGCCCGCAAGGTCCCCTTGCTCAAGAAAGCATATGTACAGGCCTGTCTGAAGTTTGCCAATGAACATCGGAATGATTCAGAGGAGAACTGGGTGAAAGTGTTGTGGTCAGATGAGACCAAAGTCGAGTTTTGGCATCAACTCAACGTGCCGTGTTTGGAGGAGGAGGAATGCTGCCTATGGCCCCAAGAACACCATCCCCACTGTCAAACATGGAGGTGGAAACATTATACTCTGGGGGGGGTTTTCTGCTAAGGGGACAGGACAACTGCATCACATCAAAGGGACGATGGAGGGGCCATGTACTGTCAAATCTTGTGAGAAACTCCCTCCCTCAGCCAGGGCATTAAAAATGGGTTGTGGATGGGTATTCCAGCATGACAATGACCCAAAACACACAGCCAAGGCAACAAAGCAGTGGCTCAAGAAGAAGCACATTAAGGTCCCGGAGTGGTCTCCAGACCTTAAACCCATAGAAAATCTGTGGAGGGAGCTGAAGGTTCAAGTTGCCAAACATCAGCCTCAAAACCTTAATGACTTGGAGAGGATCTGCAAAGAGGAGTGGGATAAAATCCCTCCTGTGATGTGTGCAAACCTGGTGGCCAACTACAAGAAACATCTGACCTCTGTGATTGCCAACAATGGTTTTGCCACCAAGTCCTAAGTCAAAGGGGTCAAATATTTATTTCATTCATTGACATGCAAATCAATTTATAACTATTTTGACATGCGTTTCTAACTGTTAAAATACACCTGCCATTAAAATTATAGAGTGATAATTTCTTTGTCAGTGGGCAAATGTTTAAAATCAGCAGGGGATCAAATACATTTTTGCCTCGCTGTATATTAAATACTGGCACGCAACAAATACCAGATCCAGTATCTACAGCTACTGCAAGTCTTCCATTTTAACGAGCTGTATTAAAGTGTGATACATCACTGAGAAGTCTTTGCTATCTGGGCAATTGCCTGCCTCTTGAGTTTAGCTCCATGGACTGTGAATGTGAAACTGTGAATGTTTAGATTTTTGTAATTGTCACTGAGTATGTCGGAAACATTTCTGTCTAATATGATGTACAAAAGCATGTTAGCTGGTTAGGAATTCATAGGTGGGGTCTATTGCTTGTAATATCTAATGACCTCATTTTAAAATGTTACAATCTTGTAGTTTGATATGTTAATTTCTATTTTTACATTTCTGTAATTTTACATTTGTTAAGTTGTTTGATTATTTTGTGAGAATGATGGTTTATAACAGGGTGGAGTCTGAGCCATAAGTGGAGCAGATGTACGGTTCATAGGCTCCTAATACACTGGCTGATTTCTTGGGAATAACGAGTGACATCAGGCCTGCATACATACCACAGGGCATGGCCTAGGTTAGATTTGTCCTTGGGAACCTCATGACACCTTTACTGAACGTTTATATGACCGGGAGCCTGCGGGTGACATAGCTGGGGAGAGGCGGCCGCTCTCCTCGCTTGTACAGAAGCAATGAAGATTGACAGACCTCCTACCTCCCCCCTCTGAACCGGTGGGGGTGACCTTGGCCCGCCCCATAGAAGCAACAAGCAGACTACTGAACTGGAACCACATAACATGGCGGATGTCACATGTCCAATACAATGCTGTGCCGAGATGCTGGACGTGGTCCAAGCTAGACAAAATATTTGCTGACTTTTGGAGAAAGTTGGCACTCAGGGAGCAACAGACTACTGAGCATTAAGCAAGAGTGCACTCACCCAAGGCCTCGCCTCCACACTCCCAATGTAGATTCAGTGACCAAACGTGTAACAGTACGAATATGGCAATGGAGTATGAAACACCTCCCGACTAAGCATAGCTACACATGATCGAGCCCAAGTGCAGCTAGACAGCCACGCAACAGATTGATGGCTCAGCCTAATTCTTGCCACCTGCTATGGCCTAACTTGGCGTTACCAAGAAGCCTTTGCCCCAAATCACACAGGGCCCCGAAACCACCAAAAAGGCCATGTTTGGATTGCCTAGTTCCTATAAGGTGACCACTTGTCTCCATCCAGGAGGGCTGCTGGGCCTGATGCTGAGAATTGTTGTGACTGAGCTCTCCCCTGACGCAGAAGGGCATCAGCTGAATTCAAAGTTGACCACAGGAGACTCTATTTTATTTTAATTTACTTTATGTTTTCACATTTTGCCCTTGAGATATACTCCCCGAATCACACCCTATGACCCTATCTGCAGAGTGAGAAACTTATCTCTGCCCTAAGTGAGAATCTTGGCTAGCTTGCAGAGGGGGCTCCAGGGGAATTATTATCTGGTTCAGGTATTCAGCCTGCGAAATTCAGGGAATAATTATTGAGCTTGTTACCTATGATTTGTATGACCCTGCTTCAAATCTCTGTAATGCTTGTTGTTCTCATTCTCTTTGCTGCATATACAATGTGAATGTTCATGCCTGGACATTTTACTAGTTTTTATATATATCGACCAAGATTATTTCTTATTATATGTAAAACTGTGCAGTTTATCTTATGCCATATTATTGTTTATCTTAAAAAATGTTTGCTTCTGCTACTGTGGCATGGCAAACTTACCTGTCAACTCAAAAACAAAACAAAAATAAAGAATTTTAAATAAAAATTATGGTTTATTACTTACCTTTTACTCACAAGAAGTGAAAATTAGTTTGTATATAATAACTAAACTAGGTGCTGTATTATAGATATAGGGTACTTAGATCAGGAAAGATTTAGATTTGTGATACGTTTAAATCAGAGTATGGATAGACTGATTATCGGTTCACCAGATTATTAAAACCAATATTTGTCATATTTCTGAGAAACGGTATCTGTCTTGATATTACCAGTAACTTACTCACTTCTCACAGTCAATACACGCACTCTTATGCATCCAGAAACTCCAGCCACCAGCCAATGGGCACCACGTTGAAACCTTTACTGTGAGTCCACGCATGCAGAGCTCAGCTGAAGGCAGGGAGGTGAGACAATGAATAACCTACTGTAATGTACTGGGCTGGTTGACTGATAGGAGTGTAAATGGGGTCAACAGTGATCCCAGCATGTACTGGCTGCCTGAGAGCGATAGTGTGATTGCTGTCAGCATGTTCAGTTAATGCCAGATTTGTGTAGGAAATGTGTTGCTTTTTCACTACTTGAAATATACAGATTATCAGAACATATCAGAAATCAGCCTGAAAGGCAACCAATAATCTGTATCAGCAGTGGCTCTGGAAAACTTATATCATTGATCCCTAAACCGGAGCTGCAGAGTTACATTAAAAATTAATATTACACTGCTGAAGAATATTATCACAGAATCTGCATATATGACATGAGGAGATACACGTGTTAAAATATCTAGCTATCTGCACCTATATTAAAGCATGTTTAGCTATGTTGTTAGAGAGGCAGGCAATCTGGGAAGGAGGCTTGTGTTAGTACAAACTTAAACTCCTATTTATGTAATGTAAGAAACAAGAGAATTATACAGACGAGGGGATGGGAACAAATTTACTGCAGACTACTGCTCTTATCTTTATCCCAAAGCAAGCTCCCTTGCATTGAGTGTTCCTTTGATCGCATGTTGTGGGTTCACACCAAAAGCTTTCAAATGTTAATTCCACATCTGCAATCAACTCCAAAATTTTTACTAGCTTAATTGATGAAGAAATAACAAAGTAATAGACCACACAAGTCCATGAAACAGCGTTTGGGTCAATTGTCCAATTACGTTTGATCCTTGAAAAATAGGGATCTATATATTAAAGAGCTGTAATTCCTAAATTCTTCCTCCAATTTGGATGTGAATGCCTTCAAATTAAAACTGACTTTAAGCCCATATCCATTAGTTAACTGTAACTTAAATGTATTTTAGTAAACAGCCGAAATAACAATACTTGTGTCTCTGTCCAAATATTTCTGGACCAAACTATATATCTTGTTCTCAATAATTTTTTAAAATAATGTCACCCACTTTTGTAATAATGTTGTTGGGTAATTGAAGTTGATATTTTTATTATTATTGTAAATCTTTGCAATATATATCAATACATTTGATTTTTAGGGTATCTATATTGTAAATATATTTGTAATAATTAATACTAGGACATCACTAGTTTGTTTAATTTAACAGCCTATTTCATTTCTGGTAACTTTTAGCTCAAACTGAGCTCAATTTATCATGCACTAATAGTAGTACATCTTCAATACTTAGAGGGGAACTGTCAATTTTCAGCATTTTTTATATTTGTTTCCCTACATTATTTGCAAGGTATGATAAATAAGATTAACAAAGTTAATTACTAAAGTGAGAAATCAAAATTAATTGAATGTGAAATTTCAAATTCAAAGGGATATGCATCCCTTTTAGACCACTGTCTCGTTCAAAAGCTTTATCTTTGAATGAGACAATTGCCGCACTCTGCAAGCAGAAAAAAAACTGGCAAATATTGCTTTTTTTCATATTTACCTGCTTCTTATTTCTCTAACTTTAAACACCCACCCCAGGGAGTACACTGGCCTAACCAATCAGTGTCCTATCTCTACGAAGCCTGGAAAAGTGCATTGGGCATGCCTGACAAAAGATTCATGCAGAGCAGGTTCTGGTGTCATATTTCTATCTCTTGGTGCTGCACATTATGCCCTGTTTCTGTCATTAGTGGACTAGTCTGGAACTGAGATGGATGGGTAAGAGGTGGGGGGCTGAGGACTTCCATTTCTGCTAGCTCCACACAGCTTACAGAAGCAGGAGGTGCACTGTGCTAGCATGTGCCTGCCTTTCCTCTTCTTAATGAGTTGTACTACAGTTTATTTAGAAACATAGGAAAGAATCAATCATGTGTGTGCATGCACATGCTCACAGCTCCGGCACAGAGGCCTCTCAATTGCCTTTCAATCTGTGGCTGGAATAAAGACGAGGGCTTGCAAACCCTGCAGACAGTGAGTCTGCAGCTTTTGTAAGCTGTTTTCTTCATATGCCCCCAAAGAAAACATTGAGAAATAAATACGTGCATATTTTTTTGAAGGGAGTATATCCACTAAATTGTTTAAAAAAATGAAAGGAGTGTACCTTTCAATAGGCTATCCAAGGACCATAACCCCTATGGTGAAGGTGTCTTTGGAGGCCAACCCATGATGCAGCCGTTTACTTCTGCATTATCCATACAAAGCTGTGCAACCTTGGATGGAAGTTATAGACTGTGAGCCTTCCATCATAAAAGAACCCTTTAAAAATAATCACTATAATACATTGCAGTGTTTATGATGCTTCCAGTGTCCTTTTAAATTGACTACATACAATCGTATTCAAAAGTTGTGTGATGGCTTACAAATGTAAATACTTACCAGCATTTCTGAGAAACCTGTGCTGATAGTCATTTACAACTCGGCTAACAGGGTCATAGAAGCCATCTCCACAATCATAACAGCCTTTTGGAATATCTCTTGGAGGATCTAAATCTGTAAGTTGAGAACGACCTGGAAGGAAGCAAACAAATTATATTATGTACATTTGTTTTTTTCAGTTTAATTTCTTGTAAAACTGCAAAATACAACTGTGTTTTACTCTTAGAGGAGGAATTGTCTTTTGCTTAATTTTAGCACAGACTAATAGCTAACTAAAACAAAGCTACTAGTTTTGCTTCCAATTTTTTTAAATTCATTACATTTTCGTTAATCTTATTGGCATGATTTGTCTGGCATTGCCTGTACCTATATTAGCTAAAATCTTGAAGAACCGTGCGCATCCTACATATCGCCCTGCTAGAGAAATGCAGACTACGCAAGTGCAAGTACGGCATTTCTCTGTAAGATGCCCAACACACAGTCCCGAGGAGCAATGGGGCAACAATGTCCTAGCAGAGGTAAGCAATTTTGTTACTTACCTCTGCTACATTATTCATCCCTGCAAACTTTAAAACAGATTTACTGGTGTGAAGAAAATAGGAATTGTAAACAGGTACACTGGTCTTAACTTAATAATTAAATAATGAAACCATTATAAACTCCATGGAAATGTAATTTAACAACATTCACTACCATCTCATAAAGCTTCATATAAATTTGATATATTTTTCATAATTTGAAAAAATATTTTGCAAATGTTTATCCAAAAAAAATAATATATTTGAAAAGCTTATCCAACAATATTACATTGAGACCTATGCATGAACTATATGTCAGGTTTGGTCTCAAATTAATTGTCTGGATTGACCAAGATGATCTGACCTGGTCACAAAGAGATCAGACACACCAGTATTTAACCCCTTAAGGACTGGACTGTTTTTGCGATGTTGTACATTTGCGACCAGGCATATTTTTACACTTTTGTGGTGTTTGTGTTTGGCTGGAATTTTCCGCTCTCTCATTTACTGTTCCCATACAAATTATATATTGTTTTTTTCAGGACAAAAGGGGCTTTCTTTACATACCATTATTTATATAATCTCATGTATTTTAATTTAAAAAAAATAAAAAAATATGATGAAAAATTGAAAAAAATACATGTTTTTTAACTTTTACTTGAAAAATCTTTTACTCATCTACAAAAGCGAATTAAAAAAAACTGCTAAATAGATTCAAAATTTTGTCCTGAGTTTAAAAATACGTGCTTTTTTGCTTTTGTTTTGCATGTTATAGGGCTATAGGTACAAGTAGAATATTGCGGTTTCAAAACATAAATTTTTTAAATTTATCAATAGTGACATTGTAACACTATTATCTGTCATAAATCTCTGAATAACACCCCACATGTACATATTTTTTTTAAGTAGACAACCCAGGGTATTCAATATGGGGTATGTCCAGTCTTTTTTAGTAGCCACTTAGTCGAAAACACTGGCCAAAGTAAGCATTCATATTTGTTTGTGTGTGAAAAAAGTAAAAAAACTAAATTGAACGCTAATTTTGGCCAGTGTTTGTGACCAAGTGGTTACTAAAAAGACTGGACATACCCCATTTGCAATACCTTGGGTTGTCTTCTTTTGCAAATGGTATGCCATCATGGGGGTAATTCTCATTCCTGGGCTACCATACGCTCTCAAAGGCAACGTAACCAACCTGGCCATTTTCAATGTAAAAATATTTGACCCATATTTGACCTTGTAACTTTCAAAAATACTATAAAACCTGTACATGGGGGTACTGTTTTACTCAGGAGACTTTGCTGAACACAAATATTAGTGTTTAAAAACTGGAAAACGTATCACAACAATTATATCATCAGTAAAAGTGCTGTTTGTGTGTGAAAAATGCAAAAAAAGTCACTTTCACTGACAATATCATCGCTGTGATATGTTTTACTGTTTTGAATCACTAATATTTGTGTTCAGCGAAGTCTCCCGAGTAAAACAGTACCCCCCATGTACAGGTTTTAGGGTGTCGTAGAACGTTACAGGGTAAAATACAGTGCTAGCAAATTCAATTCTCTGGAATTTCGGCCTGGGTTGGCAGGCAGGTCCCTTAAATTGCAATCAATAAAATTATTGAATTATGTAAAACTATTACATAAATACGCACGTAGAATTTAAATATATATGCATATTTATATATTTGAAGTCTACGTGTATATTTATATAATTATTTATATAATTTTGTATATGGACATATGTATATTTCTTATTATTTTTATTTATTTTTATATACATAGATATATATACAAATTCATTCTAAGTGTATTTTGCTATAAATATATATTAATTTTAAAATACAGTTAGAATAAAATTTCATATAGATATATAATTTTTTTATTTTTTTATTATTATTTTTAAAAAAATTTATTTAATTTAAATTACTTATTATTTATATTTTATAATAATATATATATATATACAATATATATATAGTTATTATATATATTATATATATACGTGTGTAATTTAATTATAAGTGTATTTTTATATTAATATAAGTACATATTAATATAAAAATACACTTAGTATGACATTATATATATATATATGATATATAGACATATATTATATAGATATAATATATGTCTATATCATATATGTATACACATATATAATTATTATTTTTTATTAACATTAACTTTATTTTTTTTTCTGATTTTACACTAGCAGGGAGACTGCCTGTCAGCACAGACAGTCCCCCTGCAGACATACACATGGACACCTATTGTGACCATGTGATCGCTGTGTTGAGCGATCACATGGCCACAGGGGGTCCTAATTCAGTGTGGGGAGACTGTCTGGGCTGCAGGCAGTCTCCCCACAACCGGAGCCACGCTGATCGCCGCCGGGGGAACGACGGCGATCAGGTAAGTAACTAAGACCGTTAGGACGGTTCAGGACCGTCATTGGTCCTCAAGGCAAAAATGCCGATGACGGTCCTGAACCATCCTCGGTCGCTAAGGGGTTAAATATATCACACTGTGAAATTTCAGCCAGATTTTGGAATACAGTAATTGCCCCTAATAAAACTGTGATTCCTACAACCCTCCTTCCCCTCCTCAGAAGGGCTGGACTAGAACCTGACTAGAGCAGGAAAGGGTATATATGGTGTCTTTTGAAATAAATTAAAAAAAAAACCAAAAAAAACATTTTTTACATGGGGTATAGTAAAGCATAATTTTCCAATTACAATAAGATTAGGGCAGCTTTAAAACTCATCGATTGGCATAAACCCTTACATTAAAAAACACTGAGGATAAATTTAATATCTTCAAACAAATATTAGAAACGTACACTTCTTCACATTTACCAATAGGTAACAAATATAAAATAAACAAATTGCTGCTTAGTAGAAAGGTAATCCGATATATTAAATATAAGAAACGGGCATAAAGAATTTAAATCAGATACATCAGTCATCCTACACAAAATATAAGGAAGCTAATAACGCCTGTTAATAGGTGAATAGATGAGCAAAACTAGGAAATGAGAAAAAATGAAAACAAATAGAGCAAGACCAGCCCCCACTAAAAAATTTTAAGTACATAAATCCTAAAAATAAAATAATTAAAGAGTACATGGGTGTGTTACTAAATGAAGATAAGGAAAAGGCAGACATTTTAAATAATTATTTTTCTTCAGGATGTATGCAAATGAATGTTGCAAAAAAAAACATACAAAAATAATGATGGTATCACTCAAAACAAGGAGCTGCAGCAACTAAAAAAGTATGTAAACAAAGCACTAGGTCCATATGGTACTCATCAATGAATACTTAAGGAGCTTATCGTGGCAATAAGTGAAGCTTTCATTTTAATATTTCAGGAATCGAATTGGAGGGCTAGAGAAAGACAGAGGTGGTTCCGATATTCAAAAAGGGTTCAGAATCTTTGCCCGGATATAATAGGCCTGAAAGGTTAACATCTGTGGCTGGAAAAGAATTTGAAGGGTTATTAAGGGATAATATCCAGGAATACATTGGGAACAATGTAATTAACAAAAATCAGAATGTTTGTTTTAAACATAGATCAAGTCAAACTAACTTAATAGCATTCTACTAAGAAGTAAGAACTAGTGTAGATCAGGGGTAAGCAGTAGATGTGATCTGCTTGGATTTTCCAAAGGCATTTGATAGAATTTGATACAATAGGTTACTGTTTAAAATAATTTGGCCTGGATTAAAATTATTGTTCTTGGGTAGAGCATTATCTTAAAGTTAGCGTACAGAGAGTTGGCATTAATGGTAAATTTTCAAGCTGAAAAAAAGTGGTAAGTAGTGTCCCTCAAGGGTCTGTTCTGGGACCACTTCTATTTAATCTATTAATAAATTATCTTGAAATGGGCATTGAAACGCATGTGTCAGTGTTTGCGGATGACACAAAACTAAGTGAGGTAATACTATGTGAGCAGGATATCACATTAATGCAGAGTGTTTTAGGTAGAACTGACCTCTCAAGTGGCAGATGAAATATAAGGTAGATAAAAACAAAGATTTGCACTTCTGTGTGAAGAATGCAAAAACAATTTTATGGCAGGACAGGAGGCTTCATATTTGCTTTACCTTCTTTACTGAAACCTCCAGCAGCAAAGAAACAGTTAACAGAACTTTTCAAAACAACCAATCAGAACAAAGCAATAGTAGTATAAAACCCCTAAGCAGGCTCTTCCACTTCCTCTTTCTTTGCTGCTGCCTCCAGGTGAGCACTCACCAACTCAGAGTTGTCTCTGCTCTTGGTTGTTTTTTTATCCTACATGCTGCTTGTTTATTTAAACAGTCTATTTAATCAGTCTATTTGCTAGGTTTGTTTAGGCAGCTTAATTGCTGGTTTTATTTAGGCAGGGTTCTTGCTGGATTTGTTTTAACAGTTTGTCTGCTGTGTTTATCTAGGCAGTCTTTGCTGTGTTTATCTTGGCAGTCTATTGCTGTGTTTATCTAGGCAGTCTATTGCTGTGTTTAGCTAGGCAGTCTATTCTGTGTTATTTCCTATACCACTTCATGCTATGTAGCTGCTGTATCACTTGTTAACATACGTTGCTGTATTTAGGCTATCTGGTAGATTTTGTATACTGCACATTGATTTATTGTTATTCTGGGTTACTTAATGCAGTTTCTCACTCTGCTGGATGGGGAATGGGTGTCCCTGCTATGATGCTTTGGCTCTGCTTGTAATCTGTTTCCCCTCCCCGGGTTCCCCTGCTGGGCTCTGTCGCCGATACCCTTTCTCCCTTATTCCCCACCTGCTCCCCGCGGCACCTGGCCGCTTGCTGAGCAGCTTTTTCAACCGTGGCAGTGCCACGCGATCACCACGCGGTAGGCCGTGCTCGGTTTTTGCAGCCGCGGCGGCCATTTTGGTGGAGCCGCAGTGACGGCCATTTTTTCAGAGCCGCATGGGCTCCGTGTGTTGCGAACAGCCCGGTCTCACCCACCGAACTGCCCTACTGCCTGATGGCCATGTGGCCACCCTCCCCTCTCCCTATATTAGGGAAGATAGCTGAAAAACTAAGCTATCTCCCTACTTACTGTGCCTTTCTCACATGCTGCATATGTAACAGATCCTGGAAAGCAGGATCTGTCCCAGGCACTCTAACAGCTCACAACTGCAGCTTACTATGATGTCTGATGCAATGTGACTAGGTTCTCTATCTTAGCAGTAGACTTGTCACGCTTTTCTTACTAATTAAATGTGAATCTCAGATTTAAAGGGGCATGTTACTGCTCAAATAAAAAATCATTGTTTACAAAAATCATTGTTTAACAAGACTATGCCACATGTGATATATGCTAATCAAGTCTTTCTCTTAAGGTTCAGTCATTTTTCTCATAAAATTAAATGGCCTGTTTTTCAGCACCTAGCTTCCCTGCCTAGGATTTGCTGCCCTTCCTGCAAGGCACTTACATTTTTCCATAATACATACACTTCAAAAGTGTATCCTAATATAATACCTGAGTGGTCTGTGAGTCAGCTTCTAGCTGTATGGACCCTTCTACCCCTCAGGGAAGCTAACTGGCCCCAAATACAGCCCTGTTATTACGGGGGGGGGGGGTGACCCTCCCTCTCCCCCCGTCCATATTTCTGTGGCTCTACCCGCTACTGGACCATAATAATGGACGTGTGACACCATTGTGGGCTGGGTGACCCCCTCCCTCTGGCAACATGGCTACCAATGAGCACCCTGCTGGCTCTACGGCGTCCTGTAGGATTAATGCTGAGGGTGACCCCCTCCTCCTTCCTACACTAATGCTCCGGCAATGTCCTGTTATTATCATACCAAGGGTGAACCCCTCCTACAGTCTGCACTGCTGGACCTGCAGCGTCCGGGTATTCCCATAAAAGAGGGTACCCCTCCCACTGATTGAGCTTCTGTTCTTACAGTGCCCTGCTATACGCAGATACTGACAGTGACCCCCTCCTGTGGACTTCTCTACTGGACCTACAGGGTCCCGTTATAACCATAATGAGGGTGACCCCCTCACGCTGACTACACTACTGGATGTACAGACCTCTATGATACCACACTGAGGGTGACCCCCTCTTACCTACAGCACTGCTGGATCTGCAATGCCCGGTTATGGTTATGAGGGTGACCCCCTCCTGCCGTCTGCACTACTGGACCGGTAATGTCTGGTTACTTTATTATACGGCTAACAACTACGGCACTACTGTACCTACAGTGTCCGATTATGTTCAGACTGAGGGTGATCCCCTCCCCTGCTGGCCTATACTGCATGGTATGCTTGTGCTTGTTGGGTGACCCCCTCTTGCACACTGGGTGACCCCCAGATGGCCGCACCAGGTATCACTCCGACAGTGTTACCTCTATGGCAGTTATGCAATCATGACTGAAGGACAAATCTCCCGTACCCAGAAGGTCACTTGGCCTGTTCTCATGCCGCCCCGCTGACCTCACTGCCACAAACCATCGGTACCTTACAGGGGACACTCCACCGGCCATCCTAGACGCTACACCAAGCACCCCTGGTACTCATTGGCTAACGGATGGATTCATCAAGAGTATCAGTCTTTATGACAGAGTCTGGAAAGGACACTGCAAACACCTGACACAGGGTTTGCACTCTATCCGGGAATAACCACTGGATGTCGATGACACGCGGACATAGAGGTTTCCTCTGGACGAACGGCGTGTTACAGCTTGGAAAGCGGAGAAGACTAAATTCCCATTGGGAATGGACCGATATGACTTATAGGTATCGCCTAGTTGGTTTCTACCCCTGAACCGCAAAACGGCCCCTGTCCAAGCTGGACATCAAACTGACAGATTTGGCATCCAAGTGCTGGGTCTGCTCTTCGGAGTTACCCTTACGTACAAATTGAGCTGACACGTCTCTATTCATAGGGTTCCCCCTTAACTAGCCCCAGAGGTCTCTCGAACCGTGCCCGGACTCAGGATCAAGGTTGAGGAACCTTGGCGCGTTCCATGAGCGATACGCATGACCAAAAGAGGCGTCCATTCCGGCTCATTCCGAAGTTGCCCTGCTGGGCAAAGGGTGCAGTGGAGTGGACTCCCGCCCCATCCCCACGCTACATGCTCCCAGTGCATATGTCGCCTGTTGACACTTCGAGACGGAGGGCACTCATCTCCTCAGAGAGCTGCTCCGCATGGACGATTGGTTCTCTCCCTCAACTGGACATGAGAGAAACCCGCATGGGTTTCGCCATCAACATGGACATATTGAGTCTGACTCACTCCCAGTCATCCCAGTTTGTGGTCTTTCATGGAATATTCGGTCCAGGCGGTGCTCCGCCTCCCGAGGACCAAGACGTCAGTCTTTAAGGAAAATACCAGTTTATATGCTCCGCAACCCGCGGGTCACACTTAGGGGCCCAACCCGGTCGATTGACCGGTTGTTATTCGCCATGGAGGCCATACCTCCAGGATCCGGTACTATCAGCCGCTCCAACATGATGCTTTCTCGGGTCTTCGGCCTGGTACGACTGAATCATGTGACCTTCGGACGAAGCTCATCTAAAACTTAATTGATGACTCCGACATAGGGGGACCTGGCCTACCTAGGAGTTTCAGACCCCAACCAACTTCGGCCTGGAGTCCGGAGGATGGACCTCTTCACGCCAACTGCATGGAACTACCTGCAGGTTTGTTCATTCTCAGCTTCCCCAGGGGAAGTAGTATTGCTTGCTACCTTCCGGCATGGACTTTTCACCGGTTGCCCACTACGGACTGCAGTCGGATCTCACGTAGGATCGCTATCTATAGCTTCTGGACAAGTATTCATCATTTGTGACAGAATGTCTGCGGGACGAGACACTCATGTGGCGGACGGCTTCACCCGACCATGGAGAGACCCCAATGATTGGTTGCCTCACTCTCCAGGGTCTCGAGTACTGGCATGATTACATTCGGTGCGAACTGCCATATGGAGCGATTCGGAGGAGTCCTGCATGCCTCAGCGAGGCGAGGGATGCGTTTTCAAAGCTTGGTCTCCTTCGGGGCGTACGCATCCCGTTTACCTACAGGATACTTTGGTCTTTGCTTCAGACCGAATTCATTTCTCCTGGCCACGCCACTTCGGAGGAGTCCTGCATGCTTTCCCCTTTTTGCTGGAGTTTGCCATGGGAAGGCAATCTACGACTCCCTGTCTCTTAATGTCCCAAGTGGGATCTACAGGGGTAGCTCGCCACGACTGGTGTTTGGGTACCTATGGCAGTCCTTATCATGGCTGTCCCCATTGTCTGGCTGAGATGCCCTCTCAGAGTAGGATCGTATGGGGCCATTCACGTCCTATGTCAGCTAGTGGACGACTCATGTGCATTTTCTCAAGTTTCTGGCATTGCTAAGGATCTCTTGGTCTGCAGTCTACCAAGAGGAGTATACCGTACGGGAGCCCTATCTCTCGCTATTCCTCAATTCTAGTGGTATCGTGTGTTCTGCATTTCCTTGAGGAAAGACCTGATGACAAGGACTTGACTTGTGCCAGTTTTTTCCGCTTACAGTTTTCCCCAGTACATCTTCTATTTCATCGCGTTCTGACGTCATGGTATCGACGTAGTGTCTTCTTCCTTCTTGCCGTTCAGTACATCGGCTTCTGCTTCACACATTTCATTTCTATTCGTCCTCTGTGTCATACCCCTATTCTCCGGATAGGCCATGGCTCTGACAGGTTGTACAAGACCATGTAGATCCAGGATCTGTTTCTTTCGTCCGTCTACTCATGGACAGCTGTTGATTTCTGCTTACGGCCATTTTGGACTGTTTCTGCATCTTCGCTCGCCCGTTGGATTTGGTCGATCCTCTCATTGACTGACCTTGAGAGTTTCTCTGCATTTTCTCTACACCGCTGCTTGGTTTAGGGAATTTGTTTTTTCATTCTCCTTTTATTTCAGTCCTCTATCTCATATTGCTTCAGGTTCTACTATTTGGGCGTTAAAATTGCAAATATGAAGCCTCCTGTCCTGCCATAAAATTAGGGATTATTCTAGCCTTGGTGAGGGAATAATCTAAATTTTATTAAAGACAGGAGGCGAATATTGTCCCCCCTTTTTTTATGTTCCCTCCCTGGATTTGGGTCTTATTCTATTATAAATAATTGGGGATATTGTTATGTTTTGTGAATGCATGGTCTTACATAATAAAGGTTATTTCTATTATTCAGTGATTGTCCGTGTGTGTTTTATTCATCATGTTTGAGTTTTAATTATGTTTTGTCAATGCTTTTTAGTTTAGGAACATACTAGGTCTTCATGGATATGACATCTTGCCTTGACAGTTTACTTTCACAATGTTTTTTGTTTTCTTGCAGTGTAATCTGTTTTCTCTCTGGATTGTTTCTCTGGATGTGTCTGCAAGAGGTGGATTTGTTGGTTTCCTTGCTCTCCCACTCGACTTCATCAAAGAAAGAGGAAGTGGAAGAGCCTGCTTAGGGGTTTTATACTACTGTTGCTTTGTTCTGATTGGTTGTTTTGAAAACTTCTGTTAACTGTTTCTTTGCTGCTGGAGGTTTCAGTAAAGAAGGTAGAGCAAATATTTGCCTCCTGTCTTTAATAAAATGTAGATTATTCCCTCACCAAGGCTAGAATAATCCCTAAATCACACCCTAAATGGTAGTGAATTAGGGATAACAACACATGATAAGGATTTGGCAATTGTTATAGACAACAAAATAGGCAACAATGTCCAATGTCAATCAATAGTTGCTAAGGTCAGTAAGGTATTGTAATGCATAAACAGGGGCATTAATTCTCTGGGCAAAAATATAACTTTACTTTTTATACCTTGAATTTTAGGCACCGGTTCCAAAGAAAGATATTATGGCACTAGGAAAAGTAACGTGAATGGAAGATTTTATTTATGATGAAAGGCTAACAAATTTAAAGGGTTAATCCAAACACAATGAGCACTTATTGTTTTTAAAATGGTTGTTTGGTATGAATCTTTAGGTGCAGTATATCTGTTTGAAACAGTCCAATGGACCACAGAGAGGGAGGCTGCAACATCAGACAGTGTGTGGAATCCAGCAAGGGGAGCTTTGATTGGTGCTGGATTATAGGGAACTTTACAGCTTATTTTAATAGGGATTTACTAGAGAGTCATAATGAATAATACTCAGAAAGATATTCTAAATCTAAACCTAAAAAAAGAGTTACAGTAACTCTTTATATCTGTTGCATTCTCTGCCTGAAGAGGTGCTTTTTTTAGTCTGTACAGCTTTTAAACAGTGACTAAAGGAATTATTGCAAAAACATAATACTCATGGATTTAATATTTAAGTAAAGACTCATATTCTGGGATGGAGAAGGAAGTTTTTTCTACTCTGCTGCAAAATCGGAAAGCACTTCAAACTGTTTTTCCCCCACTTTTGGATAAACAGAAAAAAAAAAAAAATGATGTGAGAAATGCTGAACTTGATGGACGCAAGTCTATTTTCAGCTCATGTAACTATCTAACATCTAATGAAAGCTAAGAACTTTGTAATCCATTTTGAAAGCCAAATCAAATTAGTAGTGGATTTCCATTTTCCCTACCAAAAGCTCTCTTGAGTTTTTTTGTAAATTTACTCCCTTTTCGTCGGTTTGGTGTAAAATTGTTTGTAACATGTTTTGTGTTTGTATGCACTGTGACCTACTTTTATGTTCATAATAAATGTTCCTTTATTAAGTTTTGCCTTTGTAATACTGTGGTTTCATAGATAGTTTTGCAGGTATATTTTTCTAATTTTGTTGGGGTAACTTAAGATGCCCTATTTATAAATTATCTTGGTACCAGAATAGGTGTGGGTTGTGTTAAGAATTTTTATTTTTTTATTTTTTTTAATTGTGGGTCTAGTGCAGACAAATATGGATATTTAACACTTTTTTCCCACACTGAATTAAGTGACGTGCCCACCTAGGAGTGATGATGTTCATGACAAATACTGCATGTGGACGTTATTATATCAGTTGAGATGTTTGTGGTGTTTATTCAGCTTGTGTGTGTATGTATGTCAGTATCTATGTATGTATATGTGACTGTGCACTTTTAGTTCTGTTACTTTGTGCAGGTGATATGGCACTCTTGCTCAAAAATTGTTTGCCATAACTAACATAAGTTTAGTCTCCTCACTATCCCGAAAAGGAGCATTTGATATAATTATGTTTCACTATTATTATTATTGGCATTTATATATACACTATCTCCTTACTATCCTGAAAATGAGCTTTTGATATAGTTAAGGTTTTTTTGCATTATACAGTTGTACATGTTTTCACTAATATAAGTATTTGTATTTTTTTCTTATACTTTTTAAATCAGTATGTTTGCCTTACTTGCAGTTTTACAGGGACATGAATAAAAGTGGATTAATTTTTTTGATTGGTATCTCATTATATACTCAGGTAGTGATCACTCTATCTATGAAATAAATTTTTATTGTAAGTTAAATAACTCATATAAAGTTATCCAAGTACCATTTAAATCTACCTGCTGGTTTAAGTCCGTGGCACATTTCAGTATAAAATCTCCTGTCATAGCCATCACAGTAAGGCCAATTCTCCTCTTCATACTTAAGCCCATCTGCAAAAGTATATGTTCCCTGCAAAAATAAATATTTGTGTAATGAACCATAGGGATAGAAATCTTGAAATGGTTAAATAGCACATATATAAGTAGGTAACATTTACAGCACTGTGTCTGATTGAATGTTATAAAGCCTTATAAGTAAAAGCATACTTTAACATCCAGATCTTTTAATATTGACCAATAATATGTACATAGAAATCAATACATTTGCAAAATGAAAAAAATGACACAAGTGTAACTTGTGTAAGTGAATTTAGCCGAGCTTTTATTTTTTACTTTTCATTATTGTCTTTGGCAGGTTAGGGGTAATCCTGTGTAATTTACATCACTTTATACATCTGTTTCAAATCATATTAGATAAATTCTATACTACAGAAAAGGTAATTTGAGCAATAAAAACACCTGTGGAAGGTAACTTTAAAGTGGCTTTGTCACTTTTGAGTTTTTCATAAAGATAGAAACTGTAAGAAAAGGTCTTTTTTACTGTATTTAAAAGTATTTGAAATTATTTTAAATAGTTTTTATTAATACATTTTTCAATAACAATACAGAAGAGAAAATAATTGTAACCAAAAAATTGGGGGGGATACAATGAATAACTATTATCCAATAATATATTTTAGGAATATATTAAAGCAATACTATAAAAGTAATATATAACAGTGGTAAAATTAAAATGTCATATTTGTCTTAAAATGTTGGCATATTTATTAAAGAATAAAATCAAAATAATATTTTACCATCCGGTCTGGTGCAAGTCTAAAGGCCAACTCAGACCTTTTGGTTTCAAAAACATTGCGCAATACCTCAGTCATAGATGGAATGGTATCAGCCTTCCAATACTGAGGGAGAACTGAAGTTGCCGAAACCAAGAGATGAGTCAAAATTATTTCGGTGACAAATGGTCTGGGAGTTTCTTCAGGAGATACAGTTCTGGTGAAATAGTATGAACTTGATCTGTAATGGTGTGTATTAGTGTATTAATGTTATGGCAGTAGGTGTTCAGCTTAGGACAGGACCAAAAGATGTGGAATAATGTACCTACCTGCCCACACTTCCTCCAGTGTGTATTAGTTCTAGATAAATGTTTTTTAAATAGCATGGAGGGAGTCAAGTACCATCTGTAGAGAAGTTTATAATGAGATTCCAAAAGTGCCACAGACTGTTATTCCCCGTAGCACCAAAAGAAGCCCATGCCACTCCTCAACACTATCCTCCTTGTTCAGTTCCCTCTCCCATCCTGTATTTATTTGAAATTCCAACTTAATTAGAAGATTAGGGACTACGTTGTCTTATGTAATTGCCAGTCTCCGGTAATCATTGACAAAAGAAGGACTGTCTGCAGCTATTTTACAGCTTTGCTAAGGCATCTCACTGCACAAATGTTAGATAACCAATGGAAAATTGTACAGTCTTAGGCGATCTTCTACCTTCAGGCCTGCAGCACTGAGCAGGTGAAGCCACCAGCAGTTGAATAACAAATTATGAAAGAAATATGCTGGCACTGAGGAGAGCAAACTTCAGATGAGTATATCTCCTAATTTCTTCTCTCTGGCCATCATCAAGCATGTCAACTTTGAAGAAAAAAAAAATCCCACAAGTGACAATACCTTTAAAGCAACTGTCACCTCAAAATATATTTTTTGTTGCGTCTATAAATTTCTTTGCTTTTTCTTTTTTCTGTCTTTTTTTAGTTAAAGTGGCTCTGTCACCTCAAACTTAACTTTCTCCTATTGTTTCCTCTTCTCTTCCTCTCTCAGACTTTAGTTTGTCAAGCTAACAAGGGAAGTGGAGCTTGCCTTAAGCACCACCCTTTGTCAAGATTTGTCAGGGATAGGAAAAATACATAAGACACTTTAGTCCCTACTTTGTCTTATGTTTTAAAAAAGTATGTATATCAGAAATTAAGAAAAGAAAACAAATTCTAAAAGAGAAAGAGAAGCGGAAACAACAGGACAAAGGTACGTTTCAATTGACTTTAAGGAAAAATAGGGATTGATTTTTTTTTATGTATAATGTCAAGTTGACAAAACTTAACACAGGTCAGTGGCTCAGTCAAATACATTTTTCAGTACTGCTATTGCACAGCTTGAAGTAAAAAACATAATAATCTTATGGCAGACTTATCATACATGATTCTTAATAAATACAGCATATTTATTGGAAAACAGACAATATTTTCCATTGGAATTTCTTTAAACAAAATCTGGAAAGGCAAGTAAGGGCAAAAACTGCATAATTAGCTGATATGCATACCAAATATCAATGCAAATTATTAATTCATGATGGCACAAATAATATACATCATCACAGTGATATTCAATATACAATATATATCTACAGCACTATTTTGCAAAGTCTGGCTTATGTTTGTTTTCTTGTGGAATCTGCATTTGCATAGGTGGGGGGGACCTATTAACACTATAGTGCCAGAAAAACGAGTTTGTTTTCCTGGCACTATAGTGGTCCTTTAATATTTATGTTCTAGCAAAATTGTCAAGTTAAACTTCAGGGCACAACATGCAAAGGGATTTAACTTAAAGGCATGTGTGCCTCTAGTCTAGTCTGTTATGAACATGTGCAAGAGGTCTATAAAAAACTTGTGTAGAGGACATTCTAGCACACATGCTTGCATGCACTCGTAAAAATGTTTTATTTGTAACCAATTGACCCAAAGAAACATGTCACTGGATGATAAAATCAGAAAGAATATGATACAGCTATACATTTTTAAATGCAGTCCTATCTTGGGCAAACAAGGTACTTTAAAAAATATGCTTCAAAAAACAGAAGCCTGCATAATCCATTATTATATATCTACCTCATGTGCAATGCCGCAGTCCCACTGAGCCTCATATTTGCTCCCATTTGGAAAATACAACGTTCCTTGTCCATGAAACATTCCATCTTTCATGTCTCCTTCATATCGTGTTTCAGTTGGGAGAATGTACTCTCCTTTTCCCTCCATCCTAGAAGACATTCACAAATTAGTGATCAGCGTAGCTTCTATAAAAATACAAATGTAAAGGTTAGGGGCGGGGCCTGGCAGCCAAGATGGCCGGACGTGCACTCTAAGTGCTCCTGCACACATGCCTCTGAAATAAGCTTTTATTGTGCACAATCATACCGCTGGAATCCTCATCCGAGCTTTGGATAGCCAGAAACTGAGTGGGACCCTGTGGAAATACAATTTGGGACGTTCTGCTGCCTTCTGCTACTGCAAGCACATGTGGCCTAATCTGGCTGGCGGCCTGGCGACAGGGGGATGGGGCCGACCCCCCGGCGCGGAGCCAGCTCAGCGTGACAACCATCCTGCAGCCCCACAACCCCCCCTATGGACCGGTGGGGGATATCCCGGTCCCCACTGGAGGCACTCACCTCTCCCCTGCTACAGAATCTCTGAGTTGTCCGAACACCGCATGGCAGGCCCAACATGGTCGCTGCACCTCAACACGCTCCCTTACTGAAGAGCACCTCACTTCAGACTTGGAGAGAAAGCTTTGAAACAAGCTTTAAACAGCTATGTCAAGAATTCTGGAGGCGAATTGAGAGCCGAAACTCTGCAATCACCCTGTCTGTGGAATCTATGACCCATACCTCCAGACTGGAGCGCCGACCCCACTCCGGGCTGGGCACCCATGTGGAGGCACTACCTACTGATCGCCCGATCCCACAACGTGCTCTCCGTACTCCGAAGATCTCACGGGTCCGTAAACCTGCTGCACGCCGCAGAAAGATCCCTGGAGATGTTGATAAAGCTCCTATTAAAGCATGGGATTCAGGAACTGCAGAGCAGGCTGAAGGGAGAACACAGCATGGAGGCACATACCGATACTAGTCCAAGCAGGGTTACAGACTGTCTAGCATGGCCTACATGTGGTGTGGGATAGACCTGAGACATAGTCCTCCTGTTAATCACCAGCCACTCCCGTTAATGCAGGGACACATTGCGTCTCCATATTGCTTTCCCTTCCCTGTCTTTTCTTTTCTTTTTAGTTTAACTACCTGACTGGTGAGGTGAACCCCAGTGGCACTCAAGCTTACTTGTTATCGCTGGATGAGTTTAACGTTTGCTTAGTGTAGCTTAACACAAAGCTAGCACATCATATAACTTAGTTCTTGAATACTATACCTCAGTAACATAAGCATGTTTCACAACCTACCTTAATACTTTTATTACCATGACTTTGCATAGCTTAGTATCTCTCTTAATAGTTAATCTAGACAGGTTATGTGTAGCCTGTACTTTACATTACATTGAAAAATTGTGCAGTATATCCGAATGCCTTGTAACTATAAAAAAAAAAAAAATTAAAAAAATAAGTAAAGGTTCTACAACAACTTCATTACAAGCAATTCATTGTTCTCCATATAATTTGTATAAAAAGCGTGAATTTTAGAATAATGTTTTTTATGACTCTATGATAAAAAAACAAACCTATCCCATCATACATACATGCAGAATCTCAAACAAGCTATGAAGCTGTCTCTGCTGCCATAGCATCAGCTCATTCCTACTAGATACCAGGGAAGTATGCAACCACACATCAATGGCTAAATATATTAGCGGTAGTAGTGATAGTGAGTGCCTGACTTGCACACTTGGTTTCAAATGAATTGCAATTCATCCGCATTTTGGACGATCAGATGGTCGTGTGATTCTGTAACTCTGAAGTGGCTTATGGATGTATCCCGAAACAAACGACATGGGCAATGGATGAACACATTTGTTTGATTTGTGTTCTGTCTGTAGAGCCAAAATAAAAAGACGATTGATGACTAGGAGATAACCCTACTGACCAAATGCGGACAGAATTTGAAATGTAAAATGCAATTCTATTTGGTCAACCCAAATTACGATTGGAATTAGCTTCATTTTAGGGTCTATTTAGTTTAATTTTATTTAGGGATAAATCTAATTCTAAATGCAACAATGATGCAATTGGTCATTTTTACTCCAAAATGTTAACCCAAACAGGCATATTCACTAAAATGAGAATTCAAGGTGAATTCAAAATGAATTTCAAATTTAAAGTCAAACTAGCCAAACTGGAAACATTCTCTAAGTCAGCTGTGCTTCCAGTTCAGCTACTCTTGAATTCTCACTTTAGTAGATAACCCTGTAAATGTACTTTGAACCTAACAAAAAAAAGTTCATATTTCCTAAATATATACCTATAATTGTGCTATTTTTTAGACTTTTGTCTGACTCCTACATACAAGCGGCTTAAAGAAAATCGAGCAAGTTCTATTGTAGCACAACTCTAAATTATGATAACAGTAAAACAGGATAACGAAAAAACCCCTCAAAGAATTGTACACAGCTACAGAATAAACTCAAAAGGCCTGCAATTCTTAGCCAGTTCTGTACAAGATAGGAAAGCCTAGTACTTATCCATAGTGTAAAATCATTAAATATTGCTACAGCTTAAATAAGTCAACAAATCCCCATGTGGGGGCGGGGCCTGACCAGCATGGCCGACAGACTTGTGCGGGGTGAGCTCCCCACACAAACTCAGCTAAACCGGGCACAAACTACGATGCTACCCCCAAAACAGCACTCAACGAGAATGTACACTACAAATAACCAATGGGGAGCACTACTAGACGACTCCGGAGACTCACCCCTGCCGCTCAGAAGCCAAACGCCACTCCTGAGGCCTACTCAGCCGGAGGGACCCGTGGGAGGAGGAAACTGCCAATCCTCCAACCCGGGACTGCCGGGCAAACACAAGCAACCCGTTCCCCCCCTCTGGACCGATGGAGGTAATCCTGGTCCCTGCTGGAGAAAAGGCAGCTGAGAATACTGCATCACAATATGACGCCGCTTCCCGCTCCCAGGCCTCAACCAACATTTGCCAATGGAGCAAGGGAACATCCTGAAACGACATGGGAAGACAAATTTAACGCCACCTTCGACAAGCTATGCGCAGCATTCTGGAGTAGGATAGCTGCTCGGGCAAAGCAGACACAGCCCCAGACAGTAACCCTATCAGCGACTAGCCCCACCAAACCAAGAAACACAGCCATGCACATGGACGATGCGGCAGTTCCCGCCACGTGTACTTCTTCTGGGCTGGGTACCCACATGGAGGCATCTCTCCAATGCCGGCCATACACCCAGGGAGCCACCCAAAAACCGCAAGCACCCTGGGCCCATTACCCTCAAAACAGGATCTATGGCACGACGGCACAGGTTCCCTCTAAGGCCTCAGGCCAAAGACGGGTGGCATGCAGACTCTGCGAGACCGTGAGCAACTGGAAACAATCCAAGCCCAGGCACGCAAAAAGTCCTCCTGCCACAGAAGAACCAGCTAGCTGACCCTTACTCGAGAGTGGGATGGACAAGGTCCCCCATTGCGACCTGATGAACTGATTCCCCAAGAACACCGCACTATCCCGCCATGCGGAGTAGGCTGAGGACACTTACCATCGTTTGCGCCTGGACCTGCATGGAGACACGCACAGTGCTCAGTAGTCTGCTTGTACCTGGTGAACTTAATTGCAGCGAGTAATATAGCATAGAAATGTAGAGCTTTAGATTCAAACTATAAAAGTATCATTGTTACTACCCAGGCATTATAACCACAGGGGCACTAGAAAAATCTTGTAAATAGTACTGTTTTGCATATACAAGACATCTGCCCAGCATGATATTAAACCCACTGTCTTCCCTTACCTATCAATCTATCCACTCTATGGCTCATAAAATTTAAAAGTGATGCGGTGTTTGCTAAAACCGAATTCCTGAACTCAGCAGATTTTTCAATCCACATACATAAGCACCACATCCAAGCCATTTTTATGCCTGAAAGTCACTATATATATATATATATATATATATATATATATATGTCTACTACCTAGCACACAGGTTAGAATAGAACCTAATGTTATACTGGTTTATATCTTGACATGTTAACCTTGCTAGCTACTGCACTCAACACACCTACTTACCTAACCTTTGATCTACTATTATACTCATGATAAAACATTACATGGTGCACATGTAGCATAGGTGACCTAGCAATGTTAAACAACCAGCATCATTAATTAATTTTATCTCACTCCATCTTATTCGGACAAATCAACGGTTTAGTTAAGCCTGTTAAATATAAAAATTGTGCAAATTATCATGCCACTGCCATGTATGAAACTTGAAATGCGCTGTTGTGGCGCTTGTTGAAATATTGTGATTATCTGCACTACTAAAATAAAGAATAAAAAAAAAAAATCCTCATGGTCAGATGGTATTCACCCACGCATGCTTAGGAAACTTAATATCCATACAACTGTTTTAAATTTTTCAGGATTCTTTTCTTTCAGGAATTGTACCAGAGTATTTAAGGAAAGCAGATGTGGTGCCTATATTTAATAAGCGTTCAAAAGCTCAACCCGGAAACTACAGACCCGTTAGCTTACCATCTGTGATTGGGAAATTATTTTAATGGATAATATTCAAGAATTAATTTTGAACAATAATATTAGCAGGAATCAACATGGTTTTATGAAAGACAGGTAACGCAAAAATAACTAATTGTGTTCTAGACCGTAAGCTCTTTTGAGCAGGGCCTTCATCTACCTATTGTCACTGTTTAATTGTCTCATTTATTGTAAATTTCCCCCCTGTCATAATATTGTAAAGCACTGCTGAGTTAGCTGGCGCTAAATAAATACCAATAATAATAATAATAATAACAACAATGAAGAAGTTAGTAGAAATATAGACCAGGGTGATCCAGTAGATGTGATTTGCTTGGATTTTGCTATGGCATTTGATATAGTTCCACACAAAAGACTACTAAACTTTTTTTTGCTAGGATAAAACACCGGTTTAAAGATAGAGTGCAGCCAGTAGGAACATTTTCAAACTAGACAAAAGTGGTAAGTGGAGTACCTCATGGTTCTGTCATTGGGCCATTACTCTTTAATCTAATTTTTTAATTATCTCTGTCACTGCTCCCTGTTCTTCTGTTGGCATGACCGCACATGCTCAGTGCGGCCACTCCGAAATAGATTAACTAAACTTACATGGGTCACGGCGGATCGCTGTCTGATTCTCTAGCGTTCCAGCCGGAGAAGAGTTCTAGGAGATGCCGACCGCTGCGGTTCCCATTTAAATAAATTACTTACCTCCGTCCACAACAAAGATGGCACCGATGTGCGTGCGACGTCACAATTTGGCCAATCAGTGATTAGAGAGGCCTATTTAAACCAGAGAGTGGGTCTATTTTAAACCAGAGAGTGGGTTCTTGTTCTTGATCTCTTTTTGGTATTTGACTTTAACTTGCATTTTGACTTTCCCTCTTTCTGGTATCCTTGACCTTTGGCTAGTTTCTTTGATCTATCTCTTTCTGTGTCCCTGACCTCGGCTTGTGTTTTAACCAGTCTCTTTTACGTTAGGTCTGGCCATTCTAAAGCCTAGTATACGTTGTACTTCTTCATTTTCTGTATTTTTATATGTTACATAGTTTTGCGTGTTGGGTCATATAGTAATCATGACAATCTCAAATTGGGAAATTAAAGTCATTAGTCGGTGCTTGCAGAGGCCACAAAACTAGGTAAGATAATACAGTCTGAACATGATGTAACTTCTCTACAGCGGGATTTGGATACATTATGAGACTAGGCAGGCAAGTGGCAGATGAGAGTCAACACAGATATTTGCAAAGCCATGCATTTTGGAAGAAGGAACACACAAGCCACTTATACATTAAATGGAGTTGGGATAACAATAAAAGAAAAGGACTTGTGAACAATTATATATCACAAACTAGGCAACAGTATGCAAAGCCAGTCTGTCTTGCAATAGCTAGTAACGTGCATTCATGTATAAAAGGGGGTATTGATTCACGTGATCAAAACATAATCTTTCCTCTTTATAAATCAGGGGTAAGACTCCACCCTGAATATGCTATGCAATCTTGGACACCAGTTTTAACAAAAAATATTGCGGAACTAGAAATAGTGTAAAGGTGAGCTACAGAATTAGTAAGATGGATGGAAAACATTAGTTATGAAGAAAGGCTAGAAATACTGCATTTAGTTACTTATGAAAAAAGGCACCTCTGAGGGGATACGATAGCACTATACAAATATATACAGGGTCAGTACAAACTGCTATTTGCTAACCTGTTCATTAGTAGAAATTTACAACAGACATGGTCACCCATTGAGACTGGAAGAAAGGTATTTTCGCTTACGGCAGTGGAAATGGTTCTATACAGTAAGAAAATAAAGATGTGGACTTTATTTACCTAAAGAGGTTGACATCAGATTCTATAGATATTTTAAAAAAAGGCTTGGATGTCTTTTTGCAAGAACAGAATATTCAAGTATACAATTCCACACACCACACACGAGAAGGATTTTTTTAAAGACAACAAATTAGGCAGCAATATGCAATGTCAATCTGCAGTTTTTATTGGGCAGACTAGATGGGCCGAATGGTTCTTATCTGCCGTCACATTCTATGTTTCTATGCAGTTGCTAAGGCCAGTAAGGTTTTGTCATGTATAAATAGGGGCATAAATTCTCGGGATGAAAATATAATTTTGCCTTTTTATAAATCGCTGGTAAGACCACACCTTGAATATGCTGTGCAACTTTGGGCACCTGTTCTAAAGAAGGATATCATGGCACTAGAAATAGTGCAAAGACGAGCTACAAAATTGATAAAAGGAATGTAGCCTTTTAGTTACGAAGAAAGGTTAAAAATTTTCAATCTCTATGGTTTGGGAAAACGGTGCCTCACTGGTGATATGATAACATTATACATATATATTCTGGGCCAGTACAAACCATTATCTGGAAATCTATTAATTAACAGGGCTATGGACACGAAGTCACGCATTTAGGATGGAAGAAAGGAGATTTCATCTAAGGCAAAGACAAGGTTTTTTTTACAGTAAGAGTAATAAGGATATGGAATTCTTTGCTTGAAGAGATGGTTTTGTCAGAGTCATTACAGATGTTTAAACTGCAATTGGATAAATACTTGCAAAAACATAACATATAGGATATCATTTCTAATTAGTGGGGTAATAGCTGCTTGATCCAAGGAGATATCTGACTGCTGTTTTGGGGTCAAGAAGGAATTTTTTCCTAGTTTGTTGCAAAATTGGAAGCGCTTCAGACTGGGTTTTTTTGTTGGCTTCTTTTGAATCAACAGCAAAAACCATATGTGAGAGGAAGGCTGAACTTTATGAACGCAAGTCTCTTTTCAGCTATGTAACTATGTAATTAATATGTATGTAAACAGGTTATTGATCCAAGGATTTATCTGATGGCCATTATGGAGTCAAGAAGGATTTTTTCTCTTTTTTGTGGCAAAATTGGAAAATCGCTACAATCGGGTTTTGGCCTTCTTTTGGATAAACAGCATAAGAATGGACTTTAGTTTATTGTTAGCTGAGACTACTGCAGCACCTTAAAGCACTTTAGCTTGTTGGAGAGCTTTATGTGTGAAGTGTGTCCTCTTTTTTTCATTTTACAAAAAGTGCAGAATTCAATAGAAAATTGAACTTTTATAAATTAACCTTGTTACACCTCCCATGGTTGTCAGTGTAACTAAACTCTAAAGCAAGGGTAGGCAACCTTTTAGTAATACTGTGCCAAAACAAGATCTTGAAGTCCCTTGGTGTGCCGGTCCTATTTTTTTAAATTGAGATGTGTGTTACTGTATTCTGCTTGTGTTATTTATTGGTGCTGCAGTTGCTTTGTACCATTGTATTTGTGTGTGTGCGTTATATTGTGTATGTTCACGAGTTTGTGCTATTGTGTATGATACCTATAAATGTGGGCTGTGTATGGGGACTGCTTGTGGAACTGTGTGTGTGGATATGTCACATTGTGTGTCTGGTAGTATGTTTATGTGTGGGGCTTCTTGGAGTATTGCATGTGTGGGGCTGCTTGTCAGGTTGTGTGCATGTATGTGAATGGTCAGTGGTGTTGTGGTTGTGGGGATTGTGCGTGTGTGTGTGCTATTTATATTATTTTTATAAGAGGAAGGCTTCTTTTGCAGCTCTGTGTATATCTACCAGTGTGGGTGGCTTGTCTGGGATCCAGTGGGCACCGGGTTGGCCAGGTGCAGGTCAAAATCTGTGATAGCTGCTGTGGGCTGCTTTACTCCAGTGCATGTACCTGTTCATACTTCAAGATCATCTAAGCGCTGCAATGGGTAAATTAAGGATTGCCCCTCACCAACTGCAATCCCCACTTAGTTTGCACTGGCAGATATCTGACAGGCCAATGCCTGTTTGGCTCTGGGAACCTTGAGTGCCATGCAAAGGCACCTTGAGCGCCATGCATGGCACATGTGCCGTAGGTTGCTGACCGCTGCTCTAGAGGCAGGCTATTGCTCAGAGCACCTGCTTTGCAAAGACTTCTCATTGAGCTGCATTGGTAAGTCTATATCTGGGCAGCCACAGAAAGTCTGAGCTCTGTTGGAAAGGGAGGGCTTGCAAAAGGCAGCAGACAAGATTTGCAGCTTTTGCAAGCTATTTTTAGATAAACCCCATAGAAAAAAAAATGCATATTTGCATGCATGCACGCTTTCATTACAGGTATATCAACTAAACAGTGATTAATATTTTTATTTTATTTGGACAGTGAAGTGTCCCTTTAGGAATCACAAGAAATAAACATTTTTTTAAAAGGTTTTTCAATAAAATTCAGCCATTCTTGTGGTTTGCAATGTCATGGCTTAATTTTCTATACTATTTAAGTTGCCTCCTTAATTAACTTTAATTTTGTAGCCATATTTTATTTTGCATTATTACGAGGCTAATAACCTTGGCACTGTATAACTAAATGTAGTCTTTAGAGACTGCATATTTCAGCATTATACATTCTGAGACACTAGTTGTAACATTCAGCAGCTCATAGCAGCAGGTATTAAAAGGTCATGTATATCCCTCCCTCACTTCCTCACAAATAGAATGAACAAATCAGCCATAATTCTGTTTAAACAGACTATACATCTTTATATTTACTATACGAGAACACGTATGTCCGAAGTGGTTATAGATTACTCAATTAAACATAGGAAATGCACGTAGGTAGCATAAATAAAAGGTAGTAAAACCAGTGAAGAAAAGAAATAGTAGCTATATCTGGTTGTGATATTTGTAAATATATCAAGTGGACCGGCAATATGTGAAAGCAATCTGACAAAATGAAACCATGCAAAATAATCACTTTATAAATGTTAATAAAGAATACACTAGGTTTTTGAGAAATGTGCCATTTTATCCTCTGATGAGCAGTTATACATAGGCTGCTAGAGTCGCCAGCAGTCACATGCCTCTCAACTGTCTTAGAACTAGAATCTCTTCCGATAGCTCTTTTGCAGGACTCTCCATATGGCCAACCTCAATTAGCAGGCTTGACTTTAAATGGTTACTCCAACCAACTAACTATGTTTTAAGAAAACACTGGTTTTGGTTGGAGCAAACCCCTCCTAGTGTCGCAGAAGCTACAGAATGCTTTAGAAAAACCTCTGGCACTCAAATGGCTAAAGCTACTATGTACACATCTAGGACCAGGGCACATGTGTGGAATGCCGGGAATTCCTACCAGTAAGCGCTATGGAATCTGTTGGCGCTACATAAATGGCAATAATAATAACAGTTAATATATGTAAGAGATAAGTGTTAACCTAATAATTGGATGATAATCATTGTAATATGGGTGTGATTTTGTATTTTCTCTGTACGTATGGAATAATGGTTAATTAGCTATTGTTTGCAAATAAGCAGAGGCCTACCCAGGTGTTAAACATTCCTAGTGGGTGGTGATTTTAGGAGTTATATAAGGCTTGTTGTCATTAGCTTGTCTAATATAGCTTGGTGCTACTTTTAAGTGCTGTTTCTAAGTGTGTAGTTGGAGATATTCTGGAGAGTTTTACAGAAGCTTCAACTGTCTAAGAGTTGTGCTAAGAGCTTTCTTTTCTACTGTTACAGGTAAGATTCATCAGTAGGAAAAGGTTACTGATTGCACAAGGTTTGAATTCCTGTTGGTAATTATAAGGCATTTGATTTGATTAAGCTAGTTACTTGCATTGATTGCTGGTTAATTAGCTATTGTTTGCATATAAGCAGAGGCCTACCCAGGTGTTAAACATTCCTAGTGGGTGGTGATTTTAGGAGTTATATAAGGCTTGTTGTCATTAGCTTGTCGCTACTTCTAAGTGCTGTTTCTAAGTGTGTAGTTGGAGATATTCTGGAGAGAAACTGGAGGTAATCTGAGGTATTCAGGAGGATAAATACAAAGTTAAGATTTGTTAGATTTAAATTATTCTCCTAAATGGAATGGCAGACTTAGTTCAGTGTAACAATTGCTATGCATTTGTTTCACGTTCCACTTTTTGGAGGTTTGGTTGTTGTCTAATCTGTAGACAGTTCTCTATCTTGCGGCAGGAGATTGTATTTTTGAAGTCTGAGATTTGTAAATTATCTGGTGAACAAACTCAGACTGGAACTGCTGCAAAGCCACTGCCGCAGAGACATACTAGGAATGGCAGATGGATTACTGTAGGATCTGGTAGACTTAGAGTTGTGGATAAAAGGCATTTTGCACAGTCTGTTGCTCTTCATAATTCATTTTCTGCACTTTCAGAGTGTAATGGTGTTGTGGAGAGAGGCACTGAGGCTAGTGGTGTTGTGGAGAGAGGCACTGGCTAGTGGTGTTGTGGAGACCGGCTTGGAGACTATGGTGAGGCCTAATAGAAAGCAGTTGTTGTTGGGGGATTCCATTATAAGAGGTGTGGAGATGGACAATGGTGGTCTTGTGAGGTGTCTTCCCGGAGCTACTGCTCACAGAGACAGGAGACGTATCTGTAATATTGTTAAGCAAGCAAAGCAGGAAGGGGAATTGGATGTACTTGTCCATCTAGGGACAAATGACTTGGCTTGCAATGAGGTTTCAGAGGTTAAGGAAGTTTTTAGTGTTTTTGCCAATGATATACGGCAGGTTGCTTCCACACTGTCATTCTCTGAAGTTCTGCCTGTGCATAACACTCAGAACGACAGGCGGATGCGTATTAGGGACTTTAATTTGTGGCTTGGTGAATGGTGTCGGGAGCAAGGATTTGGCTTTATTTATCATGGTAGCTCTGTTTGGAATGGAGATAAGCTGTACAAAAAAGATGGTTTGCATCTTTCTCAAAAGGGAACAAATGTTCTCAGTGAGCAGTTCAGAGGTTTTGCTAGGATGTATTTAAACTAGGAGGGGGGGGCAAAAGGGTGATAAAACATCAATCCAATTGTCCCCCAAAACAAGGACAGAAGGTGCCTGTAGCAAGTGTGTTAAAAAATGATAAGCTTAGAGTCATGTCTACAAATGCTCGCAGTTTAGGGAATAAGATCCATGAACTTGTGGCAATAATGGCAACTGATAGTGTAGATTTAGTCGCTGTTACTGAGACATGGTACAATGAGAAAAATAACTGGGACATAGCAATACCAGGGTACTCTTTATATAGGAAAGATAGGGAAGGCAAGAAAGGGGGAGGGGTGGCCTTGTAAGTGAAGGATAGCATAAAATCTAGCCTAATAAAAGTTAGTGAGGCAAACATAGAGTCCGTTTGGGCTACGTTAGAATTTGGTAATCACACAGTAACTCGTGTAGGTGTGATTTATAGGCCCCCAGGACAAATTGAAGAGTTAGATAATCTACTAGTTGAGGAAATAGCTAAAATGACAATGAAGGGGGAAGTTATCATCATGGGTGACTTTAATCTTCCTGATAGGAGCACACATATTCTAAACTCCCTACTGGGATTGTCTCTAAAACAAGTTGTTGAGGAGCCAACACGTAAAGAGGCCATACTAGATATAGTGTTAACAAATGGAGATTTGGTATCAGATATTACTGTAGGTGAAAGTTTAGGATCCAGTGATCATCAGTCAGTGTGGTTTAATATAAGAACAGTGACTGAGTCACACCACACAAAAACAAAAGTTTTAGACTTTAGAAAAACAGACTTTTCTAAAATTAGAATATGGGTAGAGGAGTCATTATCAGACTGGAGCAATTTAAATGGAGTCCAAGAGAAATGGGATTATTTAAAAGTTGCACTATTGAAGGCAACAGAAAATTGCATTAGGCTTGTCAGTAAAAGCAAAAAATTCAAGAAACCACTGTGGTACTCCGCAGATGTGGCCAAAATAGTTAAAAACAAAAAGTTAGCATTTAGGAATTATAAAAAAACCCAGAGTGAGGAAGACAAAATGATCTATAAGATTAGGCAGAAAGAGGCTAAGCAAGTTATAAGAGCTTCCAAATCACACACAGAAGAAAAAATAGCACAGTCAGTAAAAAAGGGGGATAAAACATTTTTAGATACATAAATGAGAAAAGAAAAGTAAAACAAGGATTAGTTAGATTAAAAACAAAAGAAGGAAGGTATGTAGAAGAGGATAAAGGTCTAGCTGACTGCCTCAATGAATATTTTTGTTCTGTATTTACAGATGAAAATGAAGGAAAGGGACCTCAGTTGAGAAAAAGGATAAATGAGTCATTTATTACACGTGAGTTTACAGAGGAAGAGGTTCTATTTCAACTGTCAAAAGTAAAGACAAATAAGTCAATGGGACCTGATGGAATACACCCAAAGCTATTAAAAGAGCTTAGTGGTGTACTAGCAAAAGCATTAACAGATTTATTTAACCAATCATTGTTAACAGGAGTAGTCCCAGAAGATTGGAAGTTAGCGAATGTTGTGCCCATTTACAAGAAAGGTAATAGGGAGGAGTCGGGCAACTATAGGCCAGTAAGCCTTACTTCAGTAGTGGGGAAAGTGATGGAAACCATGTTAAAGGATAGGATTGATGAACATCTAAAAACACATGGATTTCAAGATCAGAGACAACATGGGTTTACTTCAGGGAGATCATGCCAAACTAATCTTATTGATTTTTTTGATTGGGTAACTAAAATTATAGATCAGGGTGGTGCAGTAGACATTGCTTACCTAGATTTCAGTAAGGCTTTTGACACTGTTGCACATAGAAGGCTTATCAATAAACTGCAATCTTTAAGTTTGGATTCAAATATTGTTGAATGGGTAAGGCAGTGGCTGAGTGACAGGCAACAGAGGGTTGTAGTTAATGGAATATATTCGAAGCTTGGACTTGTCACCAGTGGGGTACCTCAGGGATCTGTACTTGGACCCATTCTCTTTAATATTTTTATTAGTGATATTGCAGAAGGTCTTGATGGTAAGGTATGTCTTTTTGCTGATGATACTAAGATATGTAACAGGGTTGATGTTCCAGGAGGGATAAGCCAAATGACGAATGATTTAGGTAAACTAGAAAAATAGTCAGAATTGTGGCAACTGACATTTAATGTGGATAAGTGCAAGATAATGCATCTTGGACGTAAAAACCCAAGGGCAGAGTACAGAATATTTGATACAGTCCTAACCTCAACTTATGAGGAAAGGGATTTAGGGGTGATTATTTCTGATGACTTAAAAGTAGGCAGACAATGTGATAGAGCAGCAGGAAATGCTAGCAGAATGCTTGGTTGTATAGGGAGAGGTATTAGCAGTAGAAAGAGGGAAGTGCTCATGCCATTGTACAGAACACTGGTGAGACATCACTTGGAGTATTGTACGCAGTACTGGAGACCGTATCTTTAGAAGGATATTGATACCTTAGAAAGAGTTCAGAGAAGGGCTACTAAACTGGTTCATGGATTGCGGGATAAAATTTACCAGGAAAGGTTAAAGGATCTTAACATGTATAGCTTGGAGGAAAGACGAGACAGGGGGGATATTATAGAAACATTTAAATATATAAAGGGAATCAACACAGTAAAGGAGGAGACTATATTTAAAAGAAGAAAAACTACCACAACAAGAGGACATAGTCTTAAGTTAGAGGGACAAAGGTTTAAAAATAATATAAGGAAGTATTACTTTACTGAGAGGGTAGTGGATGCATGGAATAGCCTTCCAGCTGAAGTGGTAGAGGTTAACACAGTAAAGGAGTTTAAGCATGCGTGGGATAGGCATAAGGCTATCCTAACTATAAGATAAAACTAGGGACTAATGAAAGTATTTAGAAAATTGGGAAGACTAGATGGGCCGAATGGTTCTTATCTGCCGTCACATTCTATGTTTCTATGTCATTTATGATATATATTCTTTGTTCTCTTGTTGCTCGGGGCCCAGTGTATCGTGTATATCAGAAGGCACTGGGACTTTGCAGCTGTATATAAATAAACAGCTTTGTTCTTGCCGCCCTTGGCTGTCTGAAAATTAGCATGCTGTATGAGCTGTTATCACACACCAGTTTTGCATGGAGATAACATCAGCCAGCCCGGAATTCTTGTACCGAGCTGGCTAATGACACTCCAATTACATTACCGTAGGTGGAATTACACCTCCTGTAGCCGAGGCGTTAATCTCCATATGTGGAGGGCTTCAAAACACATAGTCCTGAGGAAGGTCCCCAGGTGGGACTGAAACGTCGACCTTTGCTAAAGATTCTTAATTTTACACACAACATTGTGTCTTGTCTACCAAGTCAATGGAAGAATAAAATAAAAACAAGAATTACTACAGAAAACTGTAAGTGTAGCCTATTTTTCTATTGTTTCCATTATTGTATTATAAGCAGAGGCTCAGCACTGGGTAGATAATTCAAGCGTGAGTGCAAGGTTTTTTTGTATATATTATATATATATATATATATATATATATATATATATATGAAAAAGAAGAGAAAGACCGGGCGGTCAAAGGAAATAGGGCGCCCCCTAATTGGTTGCTATAATGGTATGTACAGCTAAAATGTAACTTTTAATAGCTACTGCTTAAAAAAGAAAAATGAAAGGAATATAATAATTAAAATCAATGTGGAAAGGTAAGGACTCTGTGTGGGGTATATGGTTAAATTGTTGAATCCCCTCAAAAAAAGAAAAAAAAGAAAACTTGGAGGTGGATGAAAAAGAAATAAATCAAGAAAAGAACCCACTTAGACATACAACCTTGCTGCAAGTGAATGATCAAGTGTGCAAAGCTGCTAATGCTATATAAATGGAGAGCTCTCCTAATAAGATATCACCGTCCCAGGCTGATGCTAGAAAAAATATATTCTACATTGAAACAAAGTAGTAATAAATTCATGTGGTATAAGTAAGAGAGAGAATTGTGCCTGTAAAATGCACACTGATCATTTACAAAAGTAGCTAGAGCGCTCAATTATATTAGAGTCAGCACTGAGTAGATACAAAGTATGTATTGCCTTGTATACTGTCAAAAAATTCGACCTTGGTGTGGAGTTGGCGTGGTAAGGAGGGAGAAAGGGACTAATCTCTCATACAGCGTACGGAATAGTATCGCTATGGATGCACCCACCCCCCTGTCGCCATCCCACACACCCACTGCAAGAAAGGATGATACTAAGCTGACTATCTAAAAATCTATGATTATGAGCGCAATCACCTAACCAAAATAAATAACTAGCTATCTAACACGTGTTTCGGCGCTGCTACACGCACCTTCTTCCGAGACTATGCAAAAGTGCTCGGAGGTACCAGTCGCTCATATATACCCCCGTTCCACCAATAGGTGTAGGGGGCGTGTATCTCAAAATTCGCGCCACACGGCTAGAGCCCAAGATAGCCTTTTTTCTCTTCTTTTTCTTAGTTACACATATAAGTGAGGGTTATCCCCTATTTCTGGACGCCCCAGATACACACTCACTGGTTCCCCTAGGGGTATCTAGTGCCATTTTTTCTTCAAAATATTATTTATATATATATATATATATATATATATATATATATATATATATATATATCTCAAGGAACTGTACCGCAAAACTGACTAGCTGTGATGCAGCGATAAATGTAAAATAGAATGTACTGCAAGGAAATATATCGGCTGTCCAGCAATAAGTAGGATCAATGAACTAACCTGGGGAGGGATTGCATAGGAATCCCTATGATTAATTTCCTTCGGAAAACATGTGAATTCCACACTCTGCCACTAAGCACTGTCGACAAAACCACAGCCAGAACTTGTTCAATAAAGTGGGAATTTCCGAGAATGTAATATTTCAGAGAATTGTAAATGTTGGGCCAAATTGGAAACATTTTCCAAATTTACTGTTTAGCAATATTACTGTACATCACTGTACAAAAGACAAGAGGTCACCCATTTAAACTTGAAGAAAGGAGATTGGTAGATTAAAGAGTTATCTCCAGTAGGAATAAAGATTTGTATGGTATTATATATAGATCTTTAAAACAGATATTGTTTCTTGGTTAAAATCTGAATATTGAAGGAAATATTATATAAGTATTATTATTTACATAGCGTTAACAACATTACATTTATATAGTGTCAACAAATTCCACTTCACTTTATAATCAATGAATGGGGCTATTTGGGGAAATTCAAAATGAACTCTCCTGCCACCCATTGTGTGGAGTGTGGATTCAAACTTGGGTTCCTTGTTTTGGGGAGGAATCAACAGCAGGAACAATGAATTTTTTTGGACATGAGTGCTATATCGCTGCATATTTATTTTTCCAGATATTGGTGCAAAATGGGCAATTGCTTTGTAATGTTTCAACAATTTTGCTTGTTACGTCTAAATCCTAGCTGAGATAGCAATTCTATACACAGGTGCATGAGAAACTGTTGATGTGGTTACCCAAAGCAGCAAACCACTGGTATATAAAATATTTCATTTAGCTGGTTCTGTATATAAGCATCATGGCTCATTCCATTATACCTCCCATGTCGGTGGTCCCCTCGGTACTCGCTGCCAGTGAACTCCATCTTGCATTAAAAGAGAACCGAAATGTCCGTTACCGTGGCAACCCTGAACGGCACAGCTAGACGCTGTTACCGTGGCAACGAAATGTCACGTGACAGCCGCTACCAATCATCAGCGGGACGGGACATAAACGCCAGCCCCGTCTAGCATGGCGATTTTTAAACTACGGTGAACTGGCAAGGAATGTAACAGCCAGCGGTAGGGATCAAAACGTCACGACCACATAGCCAAAATGATAACTTCGGAGGGTGATGATTCGTGAGACTCAGTGACGTGCGTGCGTCATTTTACGTAGCTGTCATGGCGTCAGCTGCGCATGCGCAGTGAGCTGACCTTCCGGGGACAGAGGCCGCCATGCCCGGTCCGGTAGAGTTACCTGGGGCTGAGGATCTCTCTGTACAAGAGGTATGTGACTTCCAATTCTTTCTTTATTTATTTTATTGTTCATGGTGTTTCTCTGTACGGCTTGTAGTAGGTGTGCATGGTGTGAGGCTGCTCGCATCCTACCAGCATATTGTTAGTGTGTGACTGTATAGTTTTAGTATGGGATACTAACTGGTTGCACCATACTTGCACCGATTTCATGAATAAATAGTTATGCTACACTTAATGGTGGAAAAAGCACAAGCACCTGCATAGATCTGCCTTATTGCATTACTGCAGAGGAGTTATCCCAATACGTGATATTCTGTATTTATTATTTTTAGTAAAGGATAGCTGCAGCAGTTATGATTGTCTTGGTACCGTTCGCCAATTATGCGGCAAATCGTGTTACACTAGTTGTTCAGTTGGCTTATGCTATCCTAATGACATTGTCAAAGGTAGAAACACTTTTTTGTTAAAGGGACACTATAGGCACCAGAACAACTACAACTTAATGTAGTTGTACAGGTGTGTATAGTCTGTCCCTGCAGGCTTTTTAATGCCTAGAAACACCTCTAGTGGCAATCACTCAGACAGCAATTAGAGGTGCCTCCTGGGTCAGTGCTGCACAGAGTGCACCGATGAACGTTCCCCATAGGGATGGATTGATTCATGCATCTCTATGAGAAGCAGTTGATTAGCACTGCATAGCATTTTCCTGTGCATGCAGAATAACCTCCCAATGCTTTTGAAAGTATTGGATTGGCTGAGATATTGAATGGGGCGGACCCAGATAATGCTGGCATAAAGGTGAGTAAAATCATGTTTACATTGGTTATAGGCGGGTCGGGACCCTAAATAGTGTTATTAGAGGTACATCTATGTTAGCGTATTTTATTTGCGGTTTCGTTCAGGTGTGATTAAGTGGCACAATAAGCAAAATAACTAACTCCAAATAATAAAATACACTAAAATATACTTTTACCCCAACATCCTAGGGAAGACAAATACTAAATGAGTTAGTTATTTTGCTTAACTCACACCTGAATGAAACGGCAATTAATAAAATATGCTAAAATACACTTTTTACAGCTATAGTGACAGAAATACAAACCACTATAGTGTTACTTTTAAAAAATGCATTTTTTAACTTTAGAGTGTTAATGTTTTAGATTTCTTGCCCCCCCCTTTTAAAATAATTTAATTAAAAAAAAAAAAACCTTTTTAAACTTGCCTGTAATCCATAGCCACAGCAGTCTTCTTGCTGGGGCCTTTGGTGCTTGCGAGGAAATCACTATGTAGAGATGAATTGGACCCTGTATTTTTCTGCGAAATGCATTGGACATGTTTACATAGAATGTGACGGCAGATAAGAACCATTCGGCCCATCTAATCTGCCCAATTTTCTAAATACTTTCATTAGTCCCTAGCCTTATCTTATAGTTAGGATAGCCTTATGCCTATCCCACGCATGCTTAAACTCCTTTACTGTGTTAACCTCTACCACTTCAGTAAAGTAATACTTCCTGATATTATTTTTAAACCTTTGTCCCTCTAATTTAAGACTATGTCCTCTTGTTGTGGTAGTTTTTCTTCTTTTAAATATAGTCTCCTCCTTTACTGTGTTGATTCCTTTTATATATTTAAATGTTTCTATCATATCCCCCCTGTCTCATCTTTCCTCCAAGCATGTTGAGATCCTTTAACCTTTCCTGGTAAGTTTTATCCCGCAATCCATGAACCAGATTATTAGCCCTTCTCTGAACTCTCTCTAAGGTATCAATATCCTTCTGAAGATATGGTCTCCAGTACTGTGTACAATACTCCAAGTGAGGTCTCACCAGTGTTTTGTACAATGGCATGAGCCCTCTTCCTACTTCCTAAAATACACAGAAATTAATAGATCACATTCTCTGGTTACCCAAATAGGTGATTCCTATTTTATCTACTTCAGTGGGGATTGAACCTGTGGCCCATAAGATATGGAATAAGATATGGACAGTGTACTGCTAGTGTATTAGCCTATTGAGCTAACCTAACACGTTTGGTGTCAAGTAATGTAGCCAAATGCTAAGACGTTCTAATATTGAAGGTCTAAAGGAAAATGTTTCTCTAATGCAGCATTTCCTAATAGGTGTTCTGTGGAACCCTAGGGTTCCGCTAGAACAAAATTGGAGTTCCACTGCGATTTGTCAATCTGGTGACCCAATGGCCACTTAGGGCTACCCGATGGGTATTGAGTTCAGATGTCACGACCATTTAAGAGCAGAACTGGGCCCCTGTAATATTGGACGCAGACATAGAGAGTGCCACACTGGAGGGAGAGCGGCAGTAGTGGGGAGTGAGCTGCTCCCGACCTCACACACCAGCCAGCCGCACTCACAGCAAATTGCCCTCCTGCAGAAAAAAGGTAAGCTAACAGGAGGGTGACTGCAAATTTAAACATTATGATCTGTGTGCCAAGGTATGTAACACTGTGTGTATGTGCCAGTGTTTGTATCTGTGTGTAAGTGTGCATCTTCCAGTTTGTGTGTCTGATTGTATGTGCCAGTGTGTGTGTGTTTGTTTGTTAATGCGTATGTATATTTGTGAAGGTATCTATGTGGCAGCATATGTGCAGACATCCCAGCAATCAATCACCATGCAAACACACACCCCTGCAAACATACAAAGATACCCCTGAACTCCAACTCCAAAATTACATACAAACACTAATACTACACACAAATGTACATCTGCAATTATAGGCCAACACCACATCCAAACATTACATACAAACACACCTGTATTAAAATGCTAAAATTATATACAAACACCAACTCTATACGCAGAAGCACACCTGCTCCCAAGTACTACAATCTGTAGAAATTAGTGTGTGTGTGTGTGTATATATATATATATATATGTGTGTATATATACCAAAAAAACAAAATATGCCAAAAAAGTTAAACATTTCGCTCTGCTTATTAAAAGGTTTGTGGTACGGCGCAAATAATTTTTGGGGTATCCAAGATGTTGGTACACTATGTAAAAGGGTTCCGTGTAAAAAATTAATTGGAAACCCCTGCCTAGTCTGTAAATATTTTCATTTATCAGAAACAACATTTTTGTAAATTGCCAAATAAAAGGAGCACACTACATTTAGATTGTAAACTCACTGCTATCTAGCTAAGCACTTTGTATAAAAGAGCTTCAGTGGCTATATCTCAGCTTACAGGCAGGGCCCTCTCTACCGTTTGTAGTTGTCTGTGTATATTGTACGTTCTTAACTAATTGTACAGTGCTGCGAAATTTGTTATTATAAATACCAGTAATAAATAAAATACATATAGTATTGTTGGTGCTTATTGTCCCTTTCTGTGATTTTGAAAAGAATACTTCAACTGTATGCCCACCCTCTAACAGATGTCAGAGGAAGCTTATACTTCTCTTTATCCTTTCAAGTAGTTGGGAACCTACTGATCGGGTGCACATGCTCCCACAGGCTCTAACATAGGTTACTCGGAGTTTCACAAATATTACAGATTGGCATGTACAGTTTTAAAGGGTCACTAAGGTTACTTACTAGAGTGAGAATTGTTATTTCAAAGTGAATTAAAATTTTGAGGCAAAAATAGCTGAACTGGAAACATTCTCCAAGCCAGCCCTGCTTCGAGTTTGGCTAGTTTACCCTTAAATTTGGAAATCACTTTGAACTCTCAACAGTTCTCATTTTAGCAATTAACCCTGTAAGTTAAAATGGACACTCCAGACCCCTAAAGCACTTCAGCTTGCAGGAAAGCTTTGCTTGTGAAGAATGTGGCCTATTTTTTTTTTTCACTTTGCAAAAAGTGTAGATTTCAAAAGAAATTGACACACTTATAAATTAATCTGGTAACAACCCCTTGGCTTTCAAGCTGAAAACATGTCCTGTTACTTCCTTGTTTGGTTAGCTTAGTGGAGCTAAACTCGAGAGGCAGTAATTTCTCAGAGCGTCTGCATTGCAAAGACTTCTCATTGATCTGCATTGGAATGTCTTTGATTGGAAAGTCTGGGCTGGGTTAGAAGTGGAGGGCTTGCAAACGCTGCAGACAAGAGAACTGCGAGTTTTGCAAGCAGTTTTTAGATATACCCCAAATGAAATAAATAAATGTTATTTGTTTTGTATTTGGGAAATGGAGTGTTCCTTTAATAGAAGGCTAATGGATTGGAATTCAATATGTCTGTTTTAGTTATATTTGTCCTCTTTCCTGAGAACGAAGTTTTGTGGTTGATTCTTGGTGTTTGATCAGTAACTAGATTCCTCTAATGTCCAGAAGCTAAATGTTCTCTCTTTCTCTGCAATTTTGTTCAGCTTGATGTAAGTTCTGCTGTGCTAAAGGCTGCAGCCCATCATTATGGAAGTCAGTGTGATAAACCCAATAAGGAATTCATGCTGTGTCGTTGGGAAGAGAAGGATCCAAGAAAATGTCTGAAGGAAGGGAGACAAGTGAATCAATGCGCCCTTGAGTTCTTCAGGTAATACTTTCATATACCAGTCTGTCACCATAACCACTACAGCTTACTTTAGTGGTTATGGTACCAGGAGTGCCTAGTTACCCGTGACCATTGTAAGGAGTCAAACAGTTTTTGGGTTTGACATTTTATCTAAGAAACAACAATTCTTGAGCGGGAACTTCAGTTCGCTCTGCTGAGCTGTGCAGCTCGGGAGAGCTAATGGAAGTTACTGATTAGAAAATGTCGGCTGTCCAGAGATGATAGTAGAGGCCAGTTACAGGTGTACCTCAGGTAACGGTTTATGTTTTGATTAATTGTATTTGGGGGGACAATGGCGCACTCTTGTCACCAAAACCACTACAACAAATTGTTGTTGTGGTGCATGGAATGTTCCTTTAACCCCTTAAGGACTGAGCCAATTTTACAACTTGTGATCAAAACAAAATGTAAACTGTAATTAACCTCTTTCATCTTAAGTACACCCACACTTATTATATATCCTTTTATTCAAGAAAAACATGGCTTTCATTTAACATCAAATCTTTAGCTATGCAACATAATTTAATATAAATAATATATAAAAATGTGAGAAATGTTAACTGTGAATGTAATAATGCTGTTTGCTGTTACTGCAATAAAGTACACATATTTGTATTCCACAATGTCTCACAAGTTAAACAGTATCCCACCTGTATATGTTTTATGGTGTTTTGGAAAGATATTATATTTTAGTTTATACACTTTGAAATTTGCCAGACTGGTATTGTTGTCTTTGAGACCGTATAGTAGCCCAGGAATGAGAATTACCCCCATGATAGCATACCATACCAGTAGACAATCTCAGTTTTTACAAATGGGTATGTCCAGTCTTTTTTATTAGCCACTTAGTCACAAACACTGGTCAAAATTAGTTTTTTGCATTTTTCACACAAATTATAAACGCCAACTTTGGCCAGTGTTTATGACTGTTTGTGTAGTCCATTTGCAATACTTTGGGTTGTCTATTTTTTGCAAATGGTATGCCATCATGGGGGTAATTCTCATTCCTGGGCTACCATATGGTCTCAAAGGCAACATAACCAATGTGGCAAACTTTAAAGTGAAAAAAACTGAAATACAAGCCTTGTTTTTGACTATGTAACTTTCAAAAACATCATAAAACCTATTCATGGGGGGTACCGTTATACCTTGGAGACTTCGCTGAACACACATATTACGGTGTCAAAACAGTAAAACTTATCACAAGTATATGTACAGTTTACTTCACCCCGCCACCTCAGTTGAAAGAAATTGACAAAGATGCTTTAAAGTGACACACTATACACGATTTTTCACACCTCCCCTTTATTTTTCTACATCATAGAGATAATGCGTAAAAATACTCCAATTTTTCAAGATCTATCACAGGCAAGTACTGCAGCTGGCAGTATCCTCTTCCAGGATAGAAACTCCCCAGTTATTAACCTTACATTCTAGTATTTGTTTTATGAGATGTTTACTCATGAAGACTGGAGCTGCCTAGCAAGTTGATAACAGCAGATGTATGGATGCTTCAAGCATTCCAACTTATAGTCCGCCTTACAGTTTTGTAAACCAGGATGGCAGCATCGAGATTCTGGCATTGTATTAATTCACCAGTGGTTCTGACTCTGCAGGGGAAAAGAAAATACTTTTCCTATACATAGGACACAAGGTCACACACTTACACTGGACGTGAGGAAATGTATTTACAGTAAGGATGTGGAATTCTCTGCCTAAAGAGGTGGTTTTTATCAGAGTCTATATGTTTTGGTTTTTTAAAACAGCAAAATGGGAAAGCGCTTAGTTTTTTTAATATGTTTTACGGTTTTAAAACACTAATATTTGTGTTTAGTGAAGTCTCCCGAGAATAACAGTACCCCCCCATGTACAGGTTTTATGGTGTTTTGGAAAGTTAGAGAGTCACATATAAGGCTTGCATTTCATTTTTTTGACATTGAAATTTGCCAAATTGGTTATGTTGCCTTTGAGAGTGTATGGCAGCCCAGGAATGAGAATTACCCCCATGATTGCATACCATTTGCAAAAGTAGACAACCCAAGGTATTGCAAGTGGGGTATGTCCAGTCTTTCTTAGTAGCCACTTAGTCACAAAAACTGGCCAAATATTAGTTTTTTGCTTTTTTTCACACAAAAACAAATATGAACACCAACTTTGGCCAGTGTTTGTGACTAAGTGGCTACTAAAAAAGACTAAACATACCCCACTTTCAATACCTTGGGTTGTCTACTTTTTCAAATGGTATGCCATTATGGGGATAATTCTCATTCCTGGGCTACCACACCGTCTCAAAGGTAACATTACTAATCAGGCAAATTTCAATTTGAAAATGGAACGTTCTATATTTGACCCTGTAACTTTCCAAAACACCATAAAACCTCTTAATGGGGGGTACTGTTGTACTCGTGAGACATCGCTGATTACAAATATGTGCATTTTTTTGCAGTAAAACCTAACAGTATTATGACATTAACAGCTAAAATGTCAGACGGAAATACAAATTTAAAAAAAACAAAACTTATTTTCTCAATTTTATTTAAATTTTAGTCATAATAAATTATGTTCCATATATGAATAGTTAATGATAAATTAAAGCCCTGTTTCTCCTGAACAAAATGATATATAATAAGTGTGGGGGCACTTAATGTGACAGCGGTGAATTACGGTTGGACAAACATATAGCGCAAATTCCAGTTTTTGTTTACGTTTTGTTCTGATCAGAACGTGCACTATTGACTCCGTCCTGAAGGGGTTAAATAGGTTTTTGGGGTTTTTTTTGCCTTCGTTTAGAACAGGAAAAACAGATGTGAGAAAGACTGACCTTAATGGATGAATGTCTTTTTTCAGCCTATGTAAATGTGTAAAAAAAAAAAAAGTTTCTTAAAACCCACCTCTTCAGAATAACATGTGACCCTGTGAAGCAAGTCATTCGTCAAATATATAGCTTTCTCTCACATTATTTAGTTATATCGTCACTTTAATGTCACCTTACAATTTTGCTCATTTCCACCTGTCCCTTGGTTGTAATTCCCAGCGGTACTTTTCCTATTGTGTTTTTATACTCCACCCCCTATAGCTTGTTAGCTCCTTCAGGGTCTTCATCAGCCTATAATTCCTGTCAAAATTCATAATAGTTTCTTGTTTATTGTTAAATTTCCCTGTTCATAATATTGTCAAATGCTGCGGAATAAGTTGGAATCTGTGTGTGTGTGTGTGTGTGTGTGTGTGTGTATATATGCAGCTACAAAATAGGCCAGCACTCCATGATTTTTTTTATTCAAATATTTTCTTTTCTTAAGTGTGCATGTGTTACTTTTTTTATGAGAAAATATTCTTACATTCAACGTAAACTACCAGTACAAAATACACTTTTTAGTCAGGGATATCATGACCTTTAATTTATTTATTTTACAGGAAGATAAAGACTCATTGCGCAGAGCCCTTTACTGAATATTGGACCTGTATTGACTATTCAAACTTACAGGAGCTCAGACGTTGTCGCAAACAGCAGCAAGCATTTGATAACTGTGTTCTTGATAAGCTTGGTTGGGTGAGGCCAGACTTGGGAGATCTGTCTAAGGTGAGCTTATTAAATACCTTATTAACTTGATATACATTTGTAGCTTCATTGCAAGTTTGCATTTGTTTGATACTGTTTTTATGAACTCATGTATCCTATTGGAACCACTTTTCCCCTCACATTTTATTAAATAACGCTCCGAAATACACTTTATTAGTAAATCAGATACCAGGGAGCCATGTCTTTTAAAATACCTTTGGTACTTTTGTCCGTGACTGATGGTCAACTATAGTTATTTATACACACAAACTGTACACTTTGTTGTTTTTCAGGAAATGCATACATTAAAATATATACTCTTTTAAAGGAACACTATACGTCAGGAACACAAACATGTATTCCTGATCCTATAGTGTTAAAACCAACATCTAGCCCCCTGCCCTCTCCCCACTTGCCCCTCTAAATATAGCAAAATCTTACATTTATTCCAGTCTGTTGTTGTTGGCTGATCTGCCTGCTTGGCTGACATCAGAAGTGGTGCTCTGAGCCAATCACAATGCTTTCACATAGTAAAGCATTGGATTGGCTGAGAGTGTCAAGGAGGCAGATCAGGGGCAGTGCCAGCACAAGCCAAACACAGCCCTAGTCAATCCGCATCTCCTCATAGAAATGCATTGAATCTCTATGAGGGAAGTTCAGTGTCTCCATACAGAGGGAGGAGACACTGAATGGCAATACCCCCCCAAGAAACACCTCTAGTAGCTATCTGAGGGAGTGGCCAGTGGAGGCTTGCACTGCAGTTAGACCCAAAGCAGCTTCTGGTCTCAAAGAAGCTTTTGATCACTTGTGCCATTACCTGTACCATTTCTATATCAGACTGATAACACCCAAGTGTTCTAAATTTAAGACACAAGCAGTCTAGATTTGAAATTCTAGCAAGTTACCTCTGACAGAGAGAGCAAATGTAGATTATTATTTTTGCCTTTGTTGGATCTCTTTTATGAGGTGTGGCTGAAATCCACCTCAGCACCATGAGCATGCAGTCCACAGTTTGGGATTTGTAGGAAAAAGAAAGCAAAATGTAAAAAGTGGGAAAGGGCCAGGATGTGTGTTGGGGTGGAGGGGGAAGAATGTGTGGTATTGGCATTCAATCTTGGCTGGATAAATTGGGCAATCTTTTTGCAGTACCCAAGTTCAAATCCCCTATCAGGAATTTTTTAAAATAATAACCATAATAAACACAGCCAATAACCAACTTTAAAGCTTTAGCAATAAACTAAACCATATACAAAATACATGTCCACAACAGTGGCATAAGAATAAAAAAATAAATGAAAATCTGAGAAAATATTTTAAATTATGATCAAACGGGTATGCATTAAAATGGGGATAAACAGAGTTTGGAAACAAGCCTTGGGGCATAAATTATACATTCTAAGCCTTAAAGGATCAGTCGAAGAACCATAAACAGTACAGCCCGCTCAGCTGACACTCTCAACCAGTGATTGTTGTCCTGCATGAGTCTTGCTTTGATTTATAAAAGGCATCCAGCTTCTCCTACTGGTGAGGACTGGGTTTGGACCGGGCGTCCCTACTGGACTTAAGTTCTCAAACTGTGAACTGCAACAGGGTATTCCTGACCACCATAACCATTATAATGAGCTGTATATAGTGCTTGAAATGTTCCTTTAAAAGTAGTAAAAACAAAGTATTGTGCTATAATTCATCCAGAAGTGTATAACGAGAAGGAACAAATAGCCAGCCAGATATGTTAATTCAAGAAATGTCATTGGTCAGTGGAGGAAATCTGTTATGAAAAGCTCTGGTATGCTGAACAATGAATCGTTTTTCAGGTTGACTTAATTAAGAGATCACCTCAATCATATGTGGTATATTTTCGTTTGTGTATTTGTTAAAATGTACAATTGTCATTTGATTTACTTAATTGATCTCATTAGGTCACAAAAGTGGAAACTGACAGACCACTCCCAGAAAACATCTACCACTCAAGGCCAAGGCCTGAACCAAACCCTCCAATTGAAGGAGAGTTAAAACCATCCAAATATGGGAGCAGACTTTTCTTCTGGACTTGGTAAAAGGAGCAGCTTTTATCTGACTAATATAAATATGTTTCTGATCTTCCTGCCATTGACCAGATTATTGTAAACTTAGAAATAAAATAAAACATTGCCTGGATTTCTTGTTTTTTCTTGTAGCATTTTCCTTCATTACACTTATGCCAAGGTCTGCTTCAAACAAAAACCAAGTACATTGTTTGCAAAATCTCCATCAAATTTTATATTTGTGTTTTTAAATTTCAAATAATTGCACATGAGACGTGTTTCCTAGTATGGTGCTTATTACACACCTATAGTGCAGACAGGATTAAAACTTGACAGGGTCCATATAGTTAATTAACAAGGGAGATAATGTAAAATATAAGCTAAGCCATGCAGGAAAGAGGGAACCTGTCAGGGTTCTTACCTGAGAAAGGAGTCTGTAGAGCAGATATGTTTGCTCACCCTTGCCGATAGACACAGTCCAAGATGACTAGAAAAGAAGCCCACCTGGATTTTAAATCTGTGCACGGGGGCTGTGCAGGAAAGGTGATTCCAATGCAGTACCGACAAGGATGCCAGAGGTCAGGATTAACGAAGTGTAGCCGAAGTCAAGGGATGCCATAGATCAGGATAAACGAAGAAAGAAGCCGGGTCAATATGGAGACTGGAACACAGGAACTGAACACACACAACAGGATCAAAGACTTTATAAAGTTCCAAGGGCGAGGCTGTGTTTATATACCCTGCTAATGATTGATCTGAGTCAGATGAAGCACTTGCAATGACCACAGATGAAGTCCAGCCCCCAGTGCTGCAGACATATCCAGGAATAATCAAACGTAATATGTGTGTCAAGCAGGTGCTTAAACAATATGATAGATGTAAAATATATATACAGCAGCTTCAACACTATTAAGTGGGTCTCTCCAATCCACCACTATAACAATATAATAAAGGTAGGGAGATTAAAAAGGAAGGTCAGTGAAAGATACCAAACACCTAAAAAATCCCCAAACAGTGGCGCGCTAAAGAAATATATACTCACCCCTCAGTAAAAAATTAAATAAATTACTTACTGATTAATATATAGATAAAAAAAAATTTGATCATATAGTCCACTGTCTGCTGCTGCTGCCTACATCTTAAAGAAGGTCAACCCCCCTGAATGGGTTAAAATGATTTCAACCAGAGCCAGGTTTACCTCATTGGCTCTGGATAAGGTGAGCTCTTTACCATCTATATTTATGGATATACATACTTACCTATGAAAATACTACACTAGAAAGAGGTCTCTTTCTGTCTTTATATATCTCCCTGACAAGCCGTAGAGGAGGAGACTGAAGGACACCAAGTGAATGTTATTAGAGCCAGTCCCCCTTTGGCTCCACACTTGAGTGTTGATAACGTATACTATTTATCAACCAGACCCTAGATTCAATATACTCCACCATTGGATTATTTTGTCTCCCAACCCCCCCTCTTATCTTTGTTTCTTGCATATATATATTGAATTTCATCACGCAATACCCATACTACAAGGGGTGAGTATATATTTCTTTAGCGCTCCACCGTTTGGGGATTTTTTAGGTGGTTGGTATCTTTCTCTGACCTTCCTTTTTAATCTCCCTACCTTTATTACATAGCCAGGAATAATAGTGCTAGAACAGCTTGAAATAAACAGAACTGCTGTGGCTTAAAGGCAGATCGCAGGCCCAGGACAGCAAAGTACACAGGATCAAATCCCCTGTCGGGCACCCACGAGACAGCCACATCTGGCTGTCTGTATATCACGGTGGGAACCCTGACAGAACCCCAGTAGATATATCACATACACCTTTTAAAATCCTGGGAAAACATAATACATAATAGTACCAGCTAAGACATAAATAAACATGGTTAAACAGAGTGAGGAAAATATAGCTGGAAGTTGTTGAACAAATACCGGAAAAAGCACATTGGTTGACAACTGATTTATCAAAATGTAACGGTCAATTCATTAAAATGTACCACTAGCTTAGAGGAAGCAAGTACTTGAGGTACACCATTCACATAGAATTGGGTAGCCACAGACTACCAAAGTCATATCCATTAACTAGTAAACAAGTAAGGCCATTCAAGTTTTAACTGGCTCCTACAAAAGTGTCATTAAAGGTTTTGCTACAATAGGTGAGAACAAGCAGCCCCTGTCGACTGGTCTGTCACTGGCCTGGGGCCTAGTGTGCCCACTTTTGAGCTTAATACAGTTCTCCTGGAGTTAACGGCAGCCTCAGTTACCTTTTGGCTCTTTATATAATCACAGACAGAAATAATTATGTTAAAATTGTCGTGGATCAAATCAAGTGTTTGATAATTTTATATATCTGCCCCTGTCCAAATTGTTAAATTAAATGTGTGCACGCTTCCCAAAGTAATTTCACACCAGACACAAGTTTCAGGTTAATTAAAAACTTGAGGAAACCTTCCCCGACCACCCTACGTTATCCCCTCCCCTTCCAAGTTCGTAATCATACTAAGCACAATGCAAATCCCAAAGAGGCGGTCACACAACCACTTACGCTACATGACAAGACAATGGGGTTAAAATAAGCACAAGCGAAGCAGTTCACAAAACAGGCAAAGATACATTGTGAATGTGTAAACTGAAGGTTATGCGAAACCCACTTATTTGTCATACCCAATTGAAGACTGAAATACCTTGTGTTGCACCACTAACTCACAACGCAAAATCTTTCATAGGAAGAATCGTGTATTTAACTGTAACACCCATTGTCTCTCTTCTGTAACCACTGTTATTTATTTACATATTTGCTGAATATAAAACCAATGTGCATAATTATAGATAACATCAATAATTGGTTAGGTGTTAAGTGGTTCATCTAATGTACATCCTACCGGGTGTGATGTCACTGTCATCATGGGATTTTCCTCCGCATTCCAGCGCCATCTTGTTAATTGAGGTGGTTAGTCAATGGGAGGGGTAACTCCCTAGCGGCCATTTTAAGTAAGTTATGAATAATACTGATTATAGTTATGCAGAGTAAATAGGCATTTTACTAAAGTTAATATTTTGTCTATAACAAAATCAAGACTACTATTTCTTCTTTATGCTGAAGATGGCTCTTAATGACTTTGGCTTTATGTTTAGGGTTGTTGTCATGCTGCAGAATAATATTGCGTGATGGATAAATATCTGCCTCTACTTCTCATCATTAAGAAGACAATTAACTACATTTGAAGAAATTCCATCCCAAAACTTGCTAGGAACTCCTACCATGCTCACTGTTCCCTGCAGAGATTCTTGTACCAAACCTTAAGCTTGAACTTAACCTACCTTCTGCTACAGCTAAACATTTCACATTTTGGTTAATCAGTTTAGAGCACCTGCTGTCATTCTTCTGCAACCCAGTTCCTGTTTTTGTGCATACTTGATTTACTTGACCTTATTTCGATGTGGGAGATATGGCATATTTCCACACCTGCCTAAAACATTTGCACAGTAGTATGGGTATATATATCACACAATTTCAAGTTCCATGCTACTAGCCAGTCCTAAAAATGATGGGCAATATTTATGTACTACACATTTCATCTATACCCGCAATCACCTTGATTGCATGGTCTACAACTGTGGTTCTGCTATTGATGCTCCTAGATGCTTACACTTTACAATAATATCACTTAGAGTTGACTAGGGCAAATAGGAAGTGCAAGAATTTTGCAAACTGGCTTGTGGCATCCTACGACACTGAGCTCCTCCGTACAATCAGTTGTACTGTCAATGTTTGCCTATGGAGATTTCATGGCAATGATGTTAGTAATGGTTGAGGCTAAAACAATTGAACTCTCTAAGTGGAAGGGATGCCCACATACGTTTGAGGTAAGGCTCAAAATCTGAACACCTATGTTACTGGCCAAAGCAAACCTGGACTATCCTGGGTGAATTTCTACTCACCATGGTGCATTTTCATTCTTGAAAGACTAGTGGAGAGTGGAACTTTTTTTATATAACACTGCAAAGTTATAATTTTTTTTGGGGGGGGGGGTTACTGTTCATAGATATGTGTTTAAGTAAAACTATTTTTTTCTTCTTCTTTACTGGCAATTCTCCCAAATTTCTAATAAAAATATTGTCATTTTGAGCATTTTATTTTACAGAAAATGACAACTGGTCAAAATAAAATGGTGCAGTGTTTTCAGACCTCAAATAATGCAAAGAAGCCATGTTCATATTTATGTTAAACAACACAGTACTAATGTAATAATTTAGGAAGACTTCAGAAATCAAAATTTGGTGGTATAACTCATATTTTCAATCGCATCTTACATTTGTCCTGGCCTGCTCTCCACCAGTCTTTTACATTGTTGGGTAACTTTATACCACTCCTGGCATAAAAATCAAGACATTATTCTTTGTTTAATAGCTTGTACCACCCGTCTTCATCTTGATCTCAATTCAGAGGTTTTTTAATGTGGTTCAGATCTGGAGATTGGAATGGCCATGACAGGATCTTAATCTGGTGGACCTCCATTTACACCTTGATTGATCAGGCTGTGTGGCATGGAGCATTGTCCTGCTGAAACAATATTTAGGGAAAATTGTTAGAGCAGAAGGAAGAAAGTCTTCTCCACAACCTCAAGACAATCTTGTGCGTAGCTTGGTTCATGTGTCCTTCACAAATAAGAATCTGCCTGATTTCAGCCTTGCCAAAGCAAAGCTGACAATTGGACTCATCAAAGAATATTACCTTCATCCAGTCTTATCCTCATACCACAGCCTGACTCTTTTTTGCTTCTCATTGATAAAGGGATTTTTTCTAGCTTTGCCCAATGGAGTCTGTTTTCATCTGCCTTTGCAGTGCACTTCACCCCAACTGCCATTTGCCATTCCTTTTATAGTTCACTTGACATCCTGTGGTTGTTGAGTGACATTCAAATGAGTTGGTGGTCATCTCAGTCAGTGGAGAGTCTTTCCACCTTCCGCCATAGCTTTGTTGACCCCATTATCTGACGCTTGACCTAGTTCCTATGATCCACCAATTTTGAAATTTTAGAGATAGAAGCAACCTGATGCACACTGTATCCCTCTGCCAGTAAAACCAATATGTAACTATTTTCTCTCAAAACGTTTCTTTTTATCTGTTTTGGCATTACCAGTAGTTTTTTTTCATTCCAATTACTTTTGAGATACTACTAATACTGTTTTTGCCATCCAGCTGTCCCGAATTGCAAA